CTTCCAGGTAGGCAATGTCACTGTTGTTTCACATGCCACATCAACTTTTCTTTTTTTTTTCCCCCTTATCACAAGCATCTTCCTTTCATGGCAGAAGAAAGTCATTGTTCATCTTTTTCTTTATTGCTAGCCATGTCTGGGCTACCATATCTACTTACCAGCTCGTCCAGATTGGATTCATTTTCATTGTACCTGAACCTTTTGTCAGTGCATTTCATCTGCCATGAACTGTGACTGGTGAGAGCAAGATTTTCCTTTTTTTATCCAAGGAAAAGTGAAGTGGGTTTTGAAACAGATTCATAGCATTGGAACTGTAGCTTAGTGGGTTGATCATCCTATCCAACTTGGACAAAAAGAGCAGGGGCAGGCTTGGGCTGATACTCATAGGCCCATCAAAACCTGAGTAAAGAGAATCTAGGCTTAATAAATCGTAGTCCCAAACAACATGATGGCTGCAGGTGCAGGCTGATGAGAAGGACTAAGGATTATGAATTTGGTGTCAAATGAAATCCAGGCACGTGGAGTTTGTAGGTGGACAAAGCACATGAATTTAAAGACTTTCGGTGGCCAGCTTTGACACGTAGCAGGCCCTTAGCTAAGGGCTACCGGGGGTGGTGGGGGTGGTCCGTCTCCTTCCCTGAGCAAGCTTAAGAACCTGGACACTAGACACTAGACACATCCAGGACAGGTCTCCCCTACACACCCTACAATTGGACTCCCCAGGACTTGCAATAAGGCAGTTTCACTTCCAGGACAGGCAGCCGCCTCCATTATTTATTTTTCATGTCAATCTGTTACTCATATGAAATCATCAAATCAATGTTTAATAAGTTATTGTCTTTACAAGGCAGGAAAATATTTTGTCACCTGCTGCTGGTTGTTGTTCCAAGCTTGGCTAGCCTGGCCTAAATGAATGGGCCTCAACGGGTTTGAACTTCCCAAACCTTCTCTAGCCTAAGCTGTTCATGCCCTCAATGACTTTTCTGTTTGATGTTTTCCATCGTAAGGCTATGATTCTAAGCAAACTTCTTCAAATGTAGGCACATGGCTTTTCCTTCTTTCCACTATCTCTTGGGATCAAAGAAATATATAATATACATGCATGAATACGTCCATATGTACATACGTATCACGTATTACACACGTATAGGCAAGTGAAAAGGACTTGTCTGTAGTGGATTCCCCTAGTTTTTTCTTTTCTAATTTTTGGTAGGGCTGCGAGACTTTTCCTTCTTTGGTTTGACCATAATGATGTAAAGAGCATAAATGCGGCATGAAATATTGAAACAGACATGGGCACGAAAGCTTTTGCAGTGGAAATTAAGCAAATTTCCCCGTCAAAAGTTATGGATGACCTACCCTTAATAATTTCATTATGTTTTTGATAAGATTAGGACCTTTGAATTTCTTCTTTGATCACGACATTATTAGTAAACAAATAAAACTTGTTTTACGAATTTCAAATTAGTACAAGATAAAAAGGGTTTTAAGTTTATAGGTACAAGTTTTTTACCACTTAATAAATATATATTTTTAGTTAAAAGTGTGGATTTATAATAAATGTCATCAAAAATTATTCAATAAAAACGATGCATAATTTAGTGAAATAAAATATCACGAATCTTATATTAATAAAATTTTCATGTAAATTCTTTTGCTCTCTATAGCTATAACTTGTCTTTGTTTCTTTCTTTCATTAAATATATTTTATAAGTTACTAGTGAATTTGGTATCAACCCTAAATGAAACTTTTTTGCTTTCCAAAATGAATCAAAATATGTTTGGGTTTTTTGTTTAGCAATGAATATGTACATAAATTGATGCGACTAAACTATTAGGTGTAAAGGCAATGAATGCATCTTCCCTTACTAGGAAAGGTATAAATGGCTTTGCAAGTAAAGAACCTCCTTTTTGTGTGTATCACGTTTTTTGCCCAAAACTACAAAAACGTTTTTGGAGACTTCAAATTCACATATACCCTTGGGCAAATCTAAGATCCCTAAGCTTTTTTCCTTTTGTTTTTTTGGGAATTTTTTTATGGTTTGATTAGTGAGGATACCCCATGCATGCATGATTAATTGACTCTTTAAGTTTTCTATTTTTTTTCATCTCCTTTTAATATAAAATTTGTAAATATATAAAAAAGAAGATTCGAATTCAATTTTTTTTATTTTATTCGTCTTCTTTTAGTTAATCTAAACAAAAATAGAGGAAAATAAACCCATCTTCCTTTAGAAAATGAAGGAAAAAGAAAGAAGCTATATGTCAACATAAGCTCCATCAATAACAACCTTGTCAAGGGAGGTGAAGACTATGGCGAGCTTTGAACTTCTCCTTTTACACGTGAGTAAAAAAGGGTAATTTTCCTTTTTTTTTTTATGAGAAAAATTATATATTTGAATCTTATTAATAATATCTTATTGACTCTCGAATCACAATTGACATGAACTAAATCTCCACCGACTAAGCTAAAGAAAAAAGGGGAAAGAAACAAGTGACAAATAGTGACCAATCAATTTTCCAACTTCTCAAACAAGGCAAAGGGGGCGGAAGAAGAAGACTTTCGGGACAAGAACAGTGGCGATGGGTCATGAGCTTGCGTAGCAAATTGCATGGCATCATGTCAAAAGATGTAAAAGTTTTGCTTGAGGGAGGCCAAACACAACAATTTCTAATCAAAGGATCCTTTCAGTTGCACGTGGCACAGACATGTTAAATCATGTTATTGTTTACTTGTACAGTACCAGTACAAAAACTTCGTGGTCCCCTCCCACAGATCACTGTCTTGTCCGAGTGACGACTCGGAGTCCTCCTGTCCGAAAACCATTCTGGGTTTAAAGTCAATGGGAGGCTTTCCAATACCCTCTTTCTTTGTCTTTGCCTCTCCGCGCTTTACGCCTGCCGCATCGAACTGTTCTTGCTTTTGTTTATTCATAATTTACCTCTCCTCCTATATTCTTAAAATATTTTAAAAATAAAATATCTCTAACTCTTTGAGTTTTAGTTAAAATTTTATATAAATTCATTAATTTTTAAAATAAACACCTCATTTCAAAAATATAAATATTATTAATAAAGATTATAAAAATATTAAAATATATTTTTTATTATTAAATTTATAAATTATTATTATTATATTTTTAAAAAATTAAAAAAATAAAAGAGCACCGACAGAAAGGAGCTCTAGTGCTTCCCATTGTAGAGGTTTTTTTTAATTAATAAAATTATATGATAATAATTTTAAAAATTAATCAAAAGTAAAATTAATTTTTTTACTCTTATTATGTTAGTAGGTTGACGAAAATATTAATGATTAACTAAAAGCTAAATCTATGTATCCAACCAAAAAAAAAATTTTTTTGACAAGATGTTTATTTTGAAAACTTAAAATATAAAGATATTTTATTTTAAATTTTAAAATTAAGTATTTAATTAAAAATCTACATGAAATTTTGCATATCAATTCAATGGTTAGAGTAAGTTTGGATGAAGAGAAAAGCAAAATCAACATAATATTATTTGTTATTTTATGTTATAATGTGATATATTGAAATATCATAATAGATATCAATTTGATATGATAATATAATCACATAATATATTTTACTTTTCACATCAGTATTATATCAAATTAAGAGGATTAAAAGAAAATTATGCATTTAAAATAGTTATTTAGCTAAAATATATTGAATTGATGGTAAAATTAGGAAAGATGGAAGATAATGTTTAGAATTTGAGCTTTGAAAACACGTGACATTGAAAGTTACGTATGCATTTCATTTATTTAATTGGAATTGACGATAATTTTTGTATGATTTTCTTTGTCATGAAAGGGTTACACAAATCACAAAGTGGGATTCGTTTTGACAGTGACATTTATGCTACTTTGTGGTTACAGATTTCTTTGATTAAGGTGGTCACAATCTTACATGATCACTAATCAATTTTAATTAAAAGAGCTAATCATTTTTCAAAATGAAATTCTTTGACAATATATATTTCTTCCATTTTTTAACAATTTTTGTGGGATTTTTTAAAATAAAGTCTTTTTTCCCCCTTTTTTAGAAATCTAATATTTTATTTTTCATATTGATTTTTATATGTTTTTATTTGCATTTTTATATTAAAAAATATTGGAAATCTATATTATAAAAGAATTTCAAATCTTAATATAAATACATCAAAAATCGAAACTTTTATCTTAATCTTTGCGAAAGTAAAAAAAAAAAAAGAAATAAAGGAACAAAAAAAATATATTTAATTAAGGTCACGAATTTGAACAATGAAATTCCAGTGAATCTTATGCATTAAAACACATTTTTTTTAAAAAAAAAATTAACCTTTAATAAAATATTCACAAGCAATCAAATTCCAGGTGAGTTATCTTAGACTAAATGTATAAAATTTAATGGCTTCCCAACTAGTGTCATAAGGATTAAGGACAGGAGCCAAGGCTTCTATTTCAGGAAAAAATTTATATTATTTAATTAGTACTGTTGGTTACTTATAGTTTAATAAATTTAAGTATATTAAATTTTAACCTATAGGTGTAGTATGTGACAGAAAATTGGAGTTATTAATAGAAAAAGAAATTTGGGACCATTTGGAAAACATAGCGAAACCTTTCTCACCAAAGTTGAATGACAAAAGACATGAAATGTAGATTACCATTGTCTCTTCCTTTAACCCTTTCTCTGCCAACATTAATTCTTCCAAGTCCAAAAAGAAAAATGAAAATGAATATCTGAGTCCACTCAGGGTACTGATAGATCATAGGGTACAAAGAATCATTCATCAACAATTTCATCACCCACACTTGTGACTGTTCATGTTCTGAAACCAATCATCCACGTGTAAGGATCTCATTTTGCCACCTCATGATGGCAAATCTAATCTTAGTTTCCTTTAACTTCACCATAGGGGGTCAGTTTACAGCTTGTTGCAACGTTTTTGCAAAAATGCTACTGAGGAACAGGTGGCTTAAGTGTAATTTAACCTGGGTTTTTTTTTTTTTTTTTTTTATGTTTTTTGGTGTGAGTGTGTGTGTATGTGTCTAAGGCAATGATCCCATGCCGTACCATCTATGTTAAGTTAGTCTTAGTTAGTTCTTGCTTATAAAAGCGGCAAAGCTAACTACTCTTTGTTTCTCTCACTGATGCAAAGCTCCTCACTTTTTTTTTTTTTTATCTTGTCTTTCTCAAAAGATTGCAACTTTCAGACAACAAGGAAGAGATCTCTGGAACTTCAACTGAAAGTAAGGAATTCTTTTTTTCTGAAACGGTTGATAAAAGAACTTGTTGGTGGCATGAGGATTTTTTTTAAAGACAATTTCATTTGTTGGGTTGTCTTAAATTGTTGAGTTAAGGTTAGACATATGAGCTTTTCATGTTTTTTTAATGAAAGTTGAGCTTTTTATGCTAGTTCATGCACTTTCTGTGTTGTGCTTCTGGCTGAGAAATCTAAGCATTCAAAGCTCATGTCGGCACAAAGATAGGAGTTTATAGTTACTGGGTTGGTTTTTGCTTCTGTTGTGGTGAATTTGATTGGATTGGAGGGTGCTTACTGTTCATATTGTGGTATAAAGGAGATTTTTTGGTTAAGAAGAGGAAGTTTCTGGCTCTTTCTTTTCTTTTTTCTATGTAGTCAACTAGTGGTTAAGTTGGAAGATTAATGTGGTTGATAATTGTGAGGGAAATCTAAGAGGTTTGGTTTTGTGATTTTATTGGCAAAGGAGAGAAACCCCATTTAGTTTTAAGCCATGGAGATGGCTAGAGTAAGGAAAAGAAGTATACATTTAAACAAACTTTGCTCATTGGCGTGTTGTCGACCTACGCCTACCGATGAACATGCCCAAATAGGGCAAAAAGGGTACTCAAGAGTGGTGTATTGCAATGAACCTGATTGTCAAGAGCAAATTCGTCTTAATTATAGGGGAAATTATGTGTCCACTACCAAGTATACAGCAGTTAATTTTATCCCAAAGTCTTTGTTTGAGCAGTTTAGGAGAGTTGCAAATATATACTTTCTTGTTGCAGCTTGTGTTTCATTTAGTCCATTGGCACCATATTCAGCACCTAGCCTTCTTGTACCCCTGATTGTGGTGATTGGAGCTACAATGGCCAAAGAAGGTGTGGAAGATTGGAGGCGAAGACTGCAGGTGATGCTTGAATTTCTTCTTCTCCTTTCAGTGCTTGCTTCTGGCTTTGTGCTCCAAAGTCCCCCTCCTTCCCTTCTCTTTTGTTTTAACCATTTTCCTTCTGTACTGTTAGTTTGCTTCCTAATGCAAATGCTTTAAGTTGAAATTGGACTCTTTATATTTTCAGCAAAAAAAGAAGAAGAAGAAGAAGAAGAAAGAAATGGACTTGTATTGAGTGCAAGTAACTTTAATAGGAATAACTTCAAACTAAAACATGAGTTTAATGAATAGGAGAAATCCTGCTGTTAACTAAGTCAGAAATTTCACAATTTTACCTGTAAATCTGCAAGCTTTGGATCACGCTGCATGCCATCAAAATTTATGACTAAGGTCCTGGTAGTTATGTTGTTCCTGTGGAGCAGCAACTATTTATGATAATCTTACTGTTTTATTGACATGATAAATTTTAATTTGTATTTTCACATTAATAGTGAGAAGATGACTGCTGTCCTGTAATTTGCTCTTGACATCTTTCCAAACTAGATGCGGCATGATTGATTTAATTGCTTTAATTCAACACCTATAATGACTTCCTTGATTGGTATATATTCTAAACCTTTGTAAGCAAACAAACTCATTTTATGCTTGGGCAAAAGAATAATAAGATACTAAACTCTTTTTATGTAGGGATTGCTGCAGCTTTGGTTTTTCTAAATTATATGATGTTGCTAAGCTATAATCTTGAAACTGGTTATGATTTATATTGCTGGTTTCTGAAAGAACTTTATTTAGCTTCATGTTGGAATTATTTTAGATGCAATTTTACATTTCAGATTGCTCACAGACTGAAATGTAATTTCTTCGTGTTTTTATTGGCCCTCTGTCCTTATTGGTTCTTAATATGTACTGTTTTGCTTGCTGCCGTCTTGCTCAAGCTTAGCTTGTCCAAATCCCTTCCTCTTCGCAGGGTGCTCGCCCTTCTGATGAATTTCCCTTTGAAGTTATGTAAGATATCTAAATTTCCTTTTACATGGTTTCAGGATGTAGAGGCAAACAATCGAAAGGTTGAAGTTTATGATAAAAGAAGTTGTTCTTTCAGAGAAAGCAAATGGAAGAATCTTCGTGTTGGTGACCTTGTTAAGGTGCATAAGGATGAATATTTCCCAGCTGATATACTTTTACTTTCTTCTAGCTATGAAGGTGGTGTTTGTTATGTTGAGACAATGAACCTTGATGGAGAGACTAATTTAAAGTTGAAGCATGCCTTAGAGGTAACATCCTCCCTGCATGATGCAGAGATGCTTAAGGAATTTAGAGCGGTGGTCAAGTGTGAGGACCCAAATGAACATCTTTATTCTTTTGTTGGAACATTGTACTATGATTGTCAACACTACTCACTTGCCCTACAACAGGTCCTTTTGAGAGATTCTAAACTGAAAAATACTGATTATATCTATGGTGTGGTTATTTTCACTGGACATGACACAAAAGTAATGCAGAATGCTACAGATCCTCCTTCCAAGAGGACTAAGATTGAGAGGAGGATGGATAAGATAGTGTATGTCCTTTTCAGTACTCTGATTTTGGTATCATTCATAGGATCTCTGTTTTTTGAGATTAAAACTAAAGAAGATATTAGTGGTGCTAATTATAGAAGGTGGTATCTTCGACCAGATAAAACAACTGTATTCTATGACCCCAGAAGAGCATCATTGTCTGGATTTTTTCATTTCTTGACAGGCCTTATGTTGTATGGATATTTGATACCAATATCCTTGTATGTTTCCATTGAGATTGTCAAGGTTTTACAAAGCATTTTCATTAACCAAGATCAGGCTATGTATGATGAGGAAACAGATAGGCCAGCACATGCACGGACATCTAATTTGAATGAGGAACTTGGTCAGGTCTCCACTATACTCTCAGACAAAACAGGAACTTTGACATGTAATTCAATGGAGTTTGTGAAATGCTCCATAGCTGGTACTGCTTATGGTCGTGGCATGACAGAAGTAGAAATTGCCCTGGCTAGGAAAAGAGGCGAGAGATTGCCTGAACCAATGCCTATTGATGATATTGACTCCGGAATATCTGTTAAGGGTTTCAACTTCAGAGATGAACGCATTATGAATGGGCAATGGGTGAAGGAACCTCATGCAGATGTCATTCAGAAGTTCTTTTGGGTCTTAGCAACTTGCCATACAGCTGTTCCTGAAAAAACAGAATCTAATGAGATTGTTTATGAAGCTGAGTCACCAGATGAAGCAGCCTTTGTCGTTGCTGCAAAAGAGGTTGGTTTTCAGTTTTTTGTAAGGAATCAAACCAGCATAAAATTGCATGAATTAGATCTCGTCAGTCGGAAAAATGTTGACAGGTAATCTTTTTGGACCCTTTTACATCATGTTCTTAGTCTTTTTTGCTCTCTATCAATCATAGCTAGGAGAAAACAAGTTTTGTGGCTTCACAACATATTCATGCACCAGTCCCTGGAAGTTTTAGCAAAGTTTTTGTTGAGTTACTTTCACTAACGTTTTGTATAAATATAAATCAACTGCTATACAAGGCAGCTATGAAAACACCTTTTTTTTGCAAAACACTGGTCTTTTTGTGCAAACAATAGATATCCCTTTTGCTAGTGAAGCTGCATTATATTCAGTTTTGCTCATCCTTTTTTCCTCTGAATATAGATGCTTTAAAATGCAGATTGATGATGAAAATAACACTATTAATCTTTCTGCTATGTTATAATTGCGACATAGGTGTATAGTGTTGTATATATATTTTTGATGTGCTATATTTTATTATATGTTGACGTCTTGTTGGTGGCCATTCTTGTACAGATAGAGAAAAAAGTGTGAGATTTTATTTCTCTTTCTGTTTTTTGGCCTTTGTGGAGGAAATGAATTGGGTAGAGTTTACAGGAAAAATTACTCCTGTCAAGGCTCTTGTATTCTTGGTTTCGAACACTCCCATCTTGTAATCCTATTAGAAGATAGCTTACTAGGCTACTGGCTCCAGTATCTAAAGTTGGGTACTTAAAGTGAAGCAGCTGCTTACTTACTATATGCAAAATCTGTTGCTATTATGCTGCTACTCTTAATTTTTTTCCCCATTTGTTGTGAAATTCAGTCCACATTGCATGTGAATTAATAAGTTTCTACATTTCAGAGAATACAAGCTTCTTCATGTGTTGGAGTTCAGTAGTGCTCGCAAAAGGATGTCTGTAATTGTTAGGAACCCGGAGAACCAGTTGTTGCTCCTTGCTAAGGGTGCGGACAGGTCAGAACTGAGAACCAGCTATCCTCATTCAGATATATTGTGGTAGAATTTTATGAAGTTCTAAAATAGATCAGTTGATGTGTATTTCCATTTGTTACTATGCATTCAGTGTGATATTTGAAAGGCTTTCAAAACATGGGCGAGCGTTTGAGGCGCAGACAAAGGAGCACGTTGAAAGATATTCTGAGGCGGGATTACGAACCTTGGCAGTTGCATATCGTGAGCTTGGTGATAATGAGTATAGATTATGGGAAGAAGAATTTATTAAAGCCAAAACTTCTGTAACTGCTGATCGAGATGTTTTAGTGGATGAGTTGGCTGACAGAATTGAAAGGGATTTAATTCTTCTGGGTGCCACAGCTGTTGAAGATAAACTGCAAAAGGGGGTCAGTAATCACACTAGTTCATTATGTGTAGCAACTGTTATTTTTATAATTCTTAGTGAATTGTCTGAATCCTGACCTATCTCAATACTTCTAACATGTGCCTTCTTATTGATGTTATATTGTAATATCCATAATATCTTAACAAAGAAAATAAGAGGCCAATTGTGTGCGTAAATCAGTTTATTTTCTTTTTAAATTACTCATTGGTTTGTATAAACCTCTATATTTCTCTGGCATATAGGTCCCAGACTGTATTGACAAGCTTGCAAAAGCTAGAATCAGAATATGGGTCTTGACAGGCGACAAGAAGGGAACTGCTATCAATATTGGGTATTGTGACAAGTTGAATCAAACTTATCGTCTATACTTTAGTGAACATAAATGTTATAAATATTATATTTCTACAGGTATGCATGCAGTCTACTAAGACATGGAATGAAACAGATTGTGATCACGCTAGAGTCACCAGAAATTGAAGCCTTGGAGAAACGTGGGGATAAGGAGGTCACTGCAAAGGTATAGACTACATCATTCTAAAGTGATGTTAATGCAGTCGTTATTGTGAGAAGTCTGAATCTATTATTATTATTAGGCTTCTTTTACAAGTGTAAAACAGCAAATATGTGATGGAAAATCTCAAGTAGCTAGAGAATGTTCAACTAGAGAACCTCCACCTGAGTTTGGTTTGATTATTGATGGCAAGTCCTTGACTTTTGCGCTGGATAAGAATCTGGTAAACCTCTTCATGGATCTAGCAATGAGTTGTGCTACTGTTATTTGCTGTCGCTCTTCTCCCAAGCAAAAGGCTCTTGTAAGTATCATGATTAGGGGAATCGAGTATACTATGGGAGTTTCATAAAGATTTATCAGGCTCTGTTGTTACTGACATGGAAATAATCTGATAGAATTCTAGAAGCTATGCAGGTTACAAGGCAGGTCAAATCCATTACAGGTAAAACAACGCTAGCAATTGGTGATGGGGCAAATGATGTTGGCATGCTTCAAGAGGCTGATATTGGAGTTGGCATCAGTGGTGTTGAAGGGATGCAGGTAAAAATATGTTCTTCATTCCTGTAGTTTTCTCTTATAATTTGTACATTTTTGATCTCTGTTTTCAGGATTTGGTTGGGGCATATTTGCTTGTGAGATGCTACTCTTAGTTTGTGTTAGCTGTTAATGGTCTCTGATTAGATTCCTGGCATGTCTTTTAAAATATAACATGCCTCACATATAGCTTTGAATTTTCTATCTTCTTTGTCTTTTATTCACATGTATTCTTTAGAAAAAAACAAACATATTTCCCCTTGCATTGCTGCAGAAATATAATGTTGAGGGATAGACTTTTGAAATTATTTATCAAAATAATAAATAAAATTTTATATTTTATTGAGTTATTGTACAAAAATTAAAATATCTAAAGAAAATACTGAAAGCCGTATCATATGATGATCTCCTTTCTCAAGATGTGTCCATAATTGGTTATTGATATGGCTAGGCATGAAGTGGTTTTTACTACTGATCATCTTATCAGCATCAGCTTGGCTCTTGCCTTCTTCCATTATGGTAACCTTGTTTTCTGCTCTGATGTGTGGCTGATGCGTGATAGTTCATCCATTATGTAGGAACAACTGAATGATTTGATAAGATTTGTGGCTTTCTATGCTTTACCTCTTTGAGGGGAAGAATGAACTCGAACATTATAAGTGTGTTAAGATGGGTGGTGACAATTGACAACCATTTGCTGCTTGATTAAGATTTTCTTGACAATCATCAGAAGAGGTGGTAGTTAAGAATGAAAGAGAGAGATATATATGTCTGTTTGTCCTCTTTATTTGATTTTGATTCCTCCATTCATATGTCATTTCTCTTGACTGTTACTTTTGAGAATTGAATTTCTGCTTCCTCCATAAGACGTTCACATTTTTTGTTTCTTCTTTTTCTCCTTTGTGGCAAACATATTTTTGCTTTTTGAAAAGCTTTGCTATTACTTTTTCTTTAGATTATGGTCCGTGGAACTATTTTTGAATATTCAATCTATATAACTGTGATTGTCTGGTTTCTGATTTACTTTTACTACCTATTATGATTTGCAGGCTGTGATGGCAAGTGATTTTTCAATAGGTCAATTTCGTTTTCTGGAACGTTTATTATTGGTGCATGGCCATTGGTGTTACAGGCGAATAGCAATGATGGTAAAAGTGTTCTGTCCTGTTTCTCCTATCTGTCCAGAATTAAACTGAAATGCTTCTATGATTTTGATATCTCAACACTCGAGAATGATAATTTTTGTTGTGGTTTATTACCTTTTACTCAATCTATATTTCTGTGTTAGCTCTAGATTATTTTCTTCTAATACGTGTTCATTCCTTGTAAGGAGAATGAGATCTTTAACAAATTGTTTGGTGTTCTCTTCCAATTTTGGGGGGACAGATTAGGCAAATGTTTAACAAAATGAATCATCCATGCTTACGTCAAGATTCTATTTTCTGGTCACTGCAGATATGCTACTTTTTCTACAAGAACATCACTTTTGGATTTACACTGTTTTGGTTTGAGGCCTATGCTTCTTTCTCTGGCCAGCCTGCTTATAACGATTGGTACATGTCATGCTACAATGTTTTCTTCACTTCGCTTCCGGTAATCGCTCTTGGTGTTTTTGATCAGGATGTTTCAGCCAGACTTTGCCTCAAGGTAAACAATTCTTTATGTTAATTCTTTATACCTTGAAGATATGATACATATCAACAATAAGAAAGGAATTTGGGCGCTTAAATAGGAGTGAGATGGGACATTCAGTGAGAGGCAACCCCAACTTGGTTTTAACCATCATAGCTTTTACCCCGTTAAGGAATCAGTACCATGAAGGAGCTATATTGTGGAAGGAAAGGGTCCTCCCACCTCTTTTGTCATTCCTCCTGCTTAAGCTTATTGCCAGTCCTGTTAAAATTTCACTTCTCATGTGTTACAAGTTATGAAGTTGCAAAATGATGCCAGTTTTCCTTTATCATTATGGCCATTGTTGTTGTCAACATTTAAACCCCAATTTTGTTTCTGAAATATGCTTTTATGCTTGAGAAATATAAAACCATGCTGCTAATCTGTTCGACTCAAAATTGCTCTGGGTCTCAGATAAATTTGGTAAACTTGCAGGAACACATGGCATGTCAAATGAATGCAATTCTTAAATCTTAACTATTTGTATTAAATTGGATGTTATAGTTGCAATTTCACTCCAAAGTAGCAACTTGTATATCAGTGTTCTCAATGGCTACCTCTTGTCCACACGAGCTTAGGATAACATTCTTTTTCTTTGCAGTATCCTTTATTATACCAAGAGGGTGTGCAGGACATCCTCTTCAACTGGCTCCGCATACTTGGCTGGATGTTTAATGGAGTTCTTAGTTCCATAATCATATTCTTCTTAACCACCAACTCGATAACTGGTCAAGCATTTCGAAGAGATGGTCAAGTTGCTGATTTTGCAGTTCTTGGGGTGACAATGTATACTTGTGTAGTGTGGGCAGTAAATTGCCAAATGGCACTTTCCATCAATTACTTCACATGGATCCAGCACCTGTTCATCTGGGGAAGCATTGCCTTTTGGTATATATTCTTGATGATTTATGGTTCGCTCCCACCTACATTATCTACAACAGCATACAAGGTTCTTGTGGAAGCTTGTGCTCCGAGCGTTCTGTATTGGATCACCACCCTTCTTGTTGTTATTTCCACACTACTACCTCTATTTTCCTATAGGGCTTTCCAGATTCGGTTTCGACCAATGGAGCATGATAGAATACAAAAACGACGGTCAGAAGGCTTAGAACATGAACATGATACAGCACAAAGACTTTCAGAAAGCCCGGTGACCCGAATATCTAGTGACTTGATTAGCATCAGAATAGATAATCTAAAGGCAAGTCCAAGGCGAAAGAACTCATGAAACTGGTACGGGGCTGACTTTGATATGGGTAGGGTTGTTTTTTCTCTGTATATTTTACGGTAGGTCTAGAGGACAGCATGAACATGGAAGTGCTTCTGCTTAATTCCACGTGTAGATTATGCACGTAAATCTGGTTTATGAAGTCATGTTCATCCATACATATGCGTCGAACTTACTGATCTCACAGATATGTAGTTAATTCTTTTCATAAGCTTGTCTGAATTTTGAATGTGCAATGAAGGTAATGCATACTTCAACTTTCCTGACAAGCAAAAATCAATTGCAAGTGAAACCATAGTTGATTTCATATGAGGACGCTAAAAGTCTATGGTTAGTGTTCTCAAATTCCCTGACATGGAACAAGGGAGCATTTTCTTACTGAGAAGCTTTCAAGCAATGCATGTATAAAGTAAAGCTACCCCTTCCCTTGCATGTGTTGATTATCTTCATCAAATCAATGAATGTACACTGATAACAGAAAGAGCTTTGTGTTTCGAATTGTTTATGGGAAAGCATCTCATTTCCTCTTCAAAGAGGTGGCCCATCAGGTCTCATTGGCCTCTAACCTTCCTTTGAAGGGAAGAACTCGACACAGCTGTTCCCCATTCATCCCCTCTGAGGTATTGCTTAAGCAGCATGAATGATATGACAGTTCCTTGTCAAGGCTTTGGTGAAAGTAAATATCATTCCCACCCCTATAATCCGAAGGATAGATATCTCCTGGATAGGGTTCCTAATGCATGCACCTAGCTTTCTCTCAGAACTCACATCTGGACTCAGACCTATCCCAATCAGGCCACCGAAAATGGAACAAATCCTTAATTTCCACGAACAGCATTTGCAGCCGAAACTAATTTCTGCGGCATGGAAATCACGGGACTCTGCCAAGTGCCAAACATGAACCGTGCCAAACATGAACCATGCCAAACATACTAGTCGAGTGGTAGTTATCCAATTGACTTGAGTCTACATACTGCAAAAACGTTGTAGGGGAAGCTTTTCCGGAAGTTAATTATTAAATTAACAGTTACGACACAACCAACAAGTTCTGGTCTAAGGGGAGTTGCCATAATCGTTTCATATTCTTGAGAAGAAAGGTCAAATCTAAGTCACAGCGGCTAGAACAACACATCCCAATATTCAATAGTCTTAGGCAAGTGGGGCCGTCAATCCTTGACATCATTAGAATTCTGAGCCACTGGAACGCTAAAGCAGCAGCTTATTCAATGCAATTCCTAATTCTGTTTCCGCCTTCTTTCTGTCATTGAATAGCAGACCCCTACGTTTGAGACTCTTGGATTTTTATATGGTAATTATATTTATGTAATTAAAATATTTTTTATAATTTTTATATTCATTTATCACTAAAATAATGTTGACATAAAATATAAAAAATGTCATATAATCACATAAAATATTTAATATTATTATTGATTGTATTATGTCAAAATATCATATTAATTAATGATAATTAATTCATAATTATTATAAATATTTAATTTAATTTAAAATAAAAATATAAAAATGTAATTAAATATAATAAAAAATTAAAATTTTTTAAAAAATTCAAAAGTTTTCAAAATATTATGTCTTCACATGTTAATTATAACTCGTAAATAATCTTAAATTCAATGAAAATTGAAAATTAAATTTGAGACAATGATTTGTTATTTTATGAGACAGTGAGATGTTTACGAGAATAAACTATAAGACTAATAAAGCTGTGTTCGCATGATCTTCACAAAGAAAACATAGTGAACCACAGCAGAAATTGTTGGTTCACGTAGGTAAGCAATTAGGTATGCATTAATAAGTAAATAAAATAGAAAGTGGCTCCCCACCCTTTTATTAATCATTCTTAACAATCTTTAGCATAATTATACTTTTTAATGTTAGATTTATCCTAACCTAAGTTTCAAATAAATGCCTCCAACTGGTCTTTGCTTATTAAACAAGGGTTTTTTTCCCATCAGATTTCTCAATCAACGTCATCCCTTTGCTGTTGCCCTTGATCCATGATTTGCCTTCTAGAAAGTCTACGGTTTTGTATTTGTTTTTTTTTATTTTAATTTTCTAGAACAGACAAAATCCCTTATTTCATGTTTGTTTGGTTGCCTTTCTCAAAGAATGTTCATGGCTGGCAAATGAGAATAAGGCTATATTTTAAACTATTATGATCTGAAAAGCTGGGATTTGAATCCTCCCTATTATGAAACCTTTTCATATTCATTAGCCAATTCAAAAACCTTATTTTAAATATCCAATCTTATTGTATAAAATAAAATAAAATAAAGTACTATGAGTTAATTAATATATGTGTATTTATCTTACAAGCTTAAGTCTTCAAATTACAAAATTTCAAATAAGTTTATATATTTTTATTTTGAATTAAATAAATTTTGTTATTAAATTTAAACACGTGAGAGTATTTTCTAAAATTAAGAGACTTATCTCTTAAGCTTTTTATTTATACAATTACACCCTTAAATGGAAGCATTTTCTCAAATATTATTCCATGAGCCAAACACAGATCTTCTCTTAATTTGGAATCCTTTCCATTAAATGTTATCTTGTTCCTTTTTCCTAAGGAAAAGAAGAAAAATTATTATTCCTTAAAAAGCTAACAGTTTATATATATGCTAAAATCGGAAGAGTTTCGAATTAGTAATTTACGTAAGAGAAGGAGTTTAATAATTAGAGCTTGAATTTGAGTTTGCTTGGTTTAATTTTAAAATAATTTTTAAAATTTATTATTATTATTTTAATTACAACTAAACAAACAAACACAAAATTAGATAACGTTTTATTTCTGAAGTCCAACATAGAAATTAATTTTGGTGTGAGTCCTGCCATCTAAACTCAAGTCTTCACACCAAACATGACATAAACGCTATCTACCAAACACAAATATCTCACACGTGTGAGCCAACCTCATCACACGTGGTAAAACAATAAAAAGGAAGAATAATAAAAGGACAAGTTCCAAGAATGTCTACCACTTATTTTAACTTTTTTTTTTTTTAATTTGCTTTGCTTCTCGTATATAAATAGATTCACACGCTTCTCAAGAACACTTCAAATAAATTGAAATCCCATCTGCTTGCCTCTCTTTCCTTTTTTAGGACGATTCAAATGCAGAACGACAACTCGGAGTTATCGTTTTGTCCTAGCTTTAACTGCTACTCCGACGACAAGAAACTCGTTGATATCGCTGCTAAAGTTAGCCGAGACTTCAAAAGCGACGATGTTTTGGACGACGAAGAATTCGAGTTCTTTAATCTCTGGGAGAATACTGATCAAACCTCATCGTTTCCAATCTTCAATCGCGATCTCTTGTTAAACGGCGAGGAGGAGAAAGGTGGTGAAGATGACGACGCGGAAGAGGCTATTGGGATTCCGTTGAGGAATCTGTTCATCGGCGATGGAGATGTTCCGTCGTCGTCGTCGTCGTCGGAGGCGGATGAGCTCGAAGGAGTGCCAACAGGAACGTACTGTATTTGGACACCGAAGCAATCAGCGGAATCGTCACCGAACAGGTGTAAGAAGAGTAGGTCCACGGGATCGTGTTCGAAACGGTGGCGATTAAAGGATTTGCTTAAGAGAAGCAACAGCGACGGCAAAGTCTCGTCTTCGTCTTCGTCCTTGTCTTCGTCCTCGGTTTTGAATTTTGAGAAGAATTCGACGGGGAAAAAGCATGAAGAGAAGTTAAGTGAGAAAACAGCGACGACGACGAAGAAAAGCGAAGGTGAAGTTCAGGCGAAGAAGACAAAGAGAGTTGAAAAACTGTCGGCGCATGAAGCTTTTTACGCCAGAAATAAGGCGTTGAAGGAAGGAGATAAACGGCGGTCGTATTTGCCGTACCGGCAGGACCTGGTTGGGATTTTTGCTAATGTTCATGGTATAGGTAGAACCTTCCCTTCTTTCTAAATTAAAAAAAAAAAAAAAGAGAGAGAGAAATAATTAGAACCCTTGTAAGTCTAGAGTTCAATTCTCAAAATCGACAATTCATATTGGAAAATATTTCTGTAAAAAGGGAAAAAGTTGAGATTATTAGGGTGTAAATAGTGAAGAAATTAATTAATTAATTACTTAATTTCTTTTGTTTGTTCTCGTTCTTCTTTTGGCCCAAGCTCAAAAATTGAATGATTTTATTAGTACTTTTGTTATTAATAATAAGATCCGTATGGAGCAAATCTTGAATTTTATTATTATTCTTAATAACTATGATTGAAAATGTATGTGAGTGTATGACGCATGCAATTAGGAAATTAATGGGTTTATTTTATAGTATATAATAAGTATATCGTTTTAGTTGACTTTTATTTTTCCATTGTTTTTACCCTATGCTTGCAAAAAAAACAAAAGGAAAATATGAATGTTTGATACATAGTTTAGGGTGGTAACAATTTCTTTTTGAATGCCTTGTAATTTTCATTTTCAATAAAAATAAGTTAATGTGTTAGTACAACTTAATGCGAAATAATTCCGACAAGTACAAACTATGTATGTGACTTTTCATTGTGTGATTGCACTTGTATATTAACATATGGGTTTTGGATGAGAACTGAAAATATATTCCAAGATGGCTTTACTTTATTAAAGTTGTCATCTAGAAGCTGTCACTTGAGCCTATAGAAATTAATAAAAATCTCATTATAATAACAACTTTGGGGGTGGAAATTTATAGATTACAACACTTGGAAATTCTAGAAATTAAACGCCAATGTGGTCCAGGCTCTAGCAATTGGATTGTGAGAGTGGTGGCGGAGGAAGCCGCCGTCACTTTTTAATTTTTTATTTAAAGATCCATAAATTTATATAATTATCTTTTAACTAGTTTGTTTACAATTTCATTTCAAGTCTGACAACGTCAATCATTTTGTATAACCTCCTCCATCAAAAACAAAAACAGAGAATTCATGAGTGAAGCCCCAAATCAACCTTAAGGTCAAACTTAAACGTCATGTTTTAATTCTTAGAAGGTGAAAGAAAGGAATATAGGATTGGGGATAAGATTTTTAGAAAGCTATATTTTAATCTATTAATAGTTGAATAAGTAAACGGTTCATTGTCGTTGAAGTGGCAAGAGCATTAAGCTAGTACATTTACTTGTAAAGACTTTTAGGTTCTAATTATAGTGCCATAAATGCTAAGTAGGCAAAGTGAGTGAAGGTCCTGAATTTAGGTTGAGCTTTCCAGCTTCCAAACTACAAGTTAGAGGACTAGTTCGTAATTACCATCAAAGTGGGCTCTTAAAAGGATGAATGAGCTGAAAATGGGGGTGTCCTGGGTCCAGTAAGGTCGCAGCCTTTTTCCTCATAGCCTTTCCCAATCACCGAATTAGTCCAACTGCCATCATAATTTCTTGTCATTTTCTTTAGAAAAAAATTTCCCCTCCATTGTTGTACTGACATAGGAAAATGTGAAAAGAAAACGTAGCCATTCTTTTCTTTTCCTACCTTTTTTATCTCTTCCAATAAGTGGGAAAGTGAAGAAAATCAAGTGCATAATAATACTATTTTTAATTTTAATTTTGGAAGCTTATTCATGGCTATTCAATGTCAAATCCTTTGGGTAACTTTCCATTTAGGCCGGTGCCTAGCTGGATTCCTCAGGAAAATTAGGTTCAATTATTTCACGAATTATCACTATTTTTGGCGGCTAATTGTAAAGTGATTTTATAAATTATAATAAATTAATATATTATGTTAATTTTAATTATAACAAATTGACATCTTATATTAAACAGTATATGAATATAAAATGATTTGATAGATGGTATTAGTTATTAAAATTTATTTAATATAAAATAAAAATATAATAATTTGATTAAATAGAATAAAAATAAAAATTTATTTAAATTTTTTATATAGGTTAAAAATTTTTATAGAAAAGTTTAATTATCTCAATCCACCAATCTTGACCCTTGTTAATTTATTTATATTATTGTAATCTAAAAAATTCAGGGCTACCAATTTTCACACCAATTCCTCCACCCATCCCCTTTTTTTTTTCTTTGTTTTCAACTTTTGACATTTTTTTTTTGTTTAAAGTCAAGGAAATAGAAACCCCATCGACTATGGCTTTTATCATTGGAGTATAAGCCTTTTGGTTTTGGTTCCAAAATCTGGCATTGAAAGTCGTGAAGATATTCAATGCTGAAGCTTCTTGGAAACAGCCCCCACCATCTAAATCCTTGTACATTTATTTAATTTAATGGACCATTGCTTTTGATCCGAAATGCGTGGATCATGCTTTGCCAATCCTGCGCTACAACTATCAAATAATAAAAGCATTTTCATTTGCTTTTCCAAAATTTAGAATAGCATAATTTTGGAAAAATTAATAAATTCTTTAAAATTTTTTTACTGTGTCTAATTATGTCATATATTTTTACTTCAAATTAAATAAAATTTTATAATTAAAAGTTAATTAATTATTATTAATTAAAATAATATTTATTATTTTATCACGTAATTTATTATAATATATCAATATGTCAAGTTAATGTTATGTGACATAAAATGATAAGTACTATTTTAATCAATAATAGTCCGTTAATTATTAATTATAAAATTTATTTATTTAAAATAAATATATAAATATTTAATTAAATATAATAAAAAATTTATTTTAATTTATTTAAATAATTTAATTTTTTTAAATAATATATCATCTATAATTTTATTTAATTTGACATGCAATGAAATTAATTATGCTAAAGTTCGAATTATGCCAACCATTGAAGGGAGCAGGTTATATATATTAGTATTTTTCATATTTACTTATTTGTTTTTATATATAGTTAATATTTCAAAACATTAAACTTTCTATGATAAATTATCATATTTAATTCCAATAAAAATATCATGTAAACTCACGTATGAAATGTTTGATATTTCATTTTCCACGCATCAATTTCTTCAAGCTGCCTTCAATTATTTGAGGGAGGAATGTTCTTAAATAACCGTCACTACACAAAATACTTACTGAGCAGACGTGCCAGTCAATGATTGGATATCGTCCTTCTCCTAAGGACCTCCAACCTCCAACCTCCAACAGATTTTTTTATCGCACGAAAGGAAAAATCTTGCCCACGTGGCAGCTTAAAGTATAAAAGTTAGAAGACCCTCATGCAACGGGGCCCCATATTCCGCCACGTGGACCACGGGTTTCTTACAGGACCTCTCTGGCTTTTCTTTCTTTTCCCCCTCCATCTCTTCAGTCACCGTTTCGTTTTTCCTTCTTCGGAACGATGTCGTTGCCGATGCAACTCTTCAGTTGCAGAGCAGCTCTCGATCTTCGCAGCAGAGATTCGAGCTTCATCAATGGAGTTTCGGCTAGAGCGACGAGGTCGAACAAAAAGCAGCTCAAGGTTTTAGCAATGTCGAGTGAAAACTCGTCGTTGAAGATGAACTTGAACGAGTATATGGTTACTCTACAGAAACCACTCGGCATTCGCTTCGGTTTATCCCTCGATGGCAAAATCTTTGTTCATGCTCTCAAACGAGGAGTAATGCAATTATCGGTTAATTTAGCATCGATTTTCTTAATGAGCAATCAGTTATTTAAGTTTAATTTTTTATATTATAAATTGTTTTTGCAGAGTAATGCGGAGAAATCAAGAATAATTATGGTAGGAGACACGTTAAAGAAGGCGAGCGATTCGTCTGGTGGAAGATTTATTGAGATAAAGAACTTCGGCGATACTCAGTAAGAAATTTTCTATTTGCTAGTATATTTTAATTTTTTGAAAATTTTTTATGGTTTTTTTAATGCTTAGTTATCAGTTGTTAAGCTTTTGTGAACGACTAAATATGCAAAACTTTATTTGAAAGCTAACTTGTTTTCTGCCAATTATACATATGCCGAGTATTATTTTTAGAAAATCGCAGTGAAACCACTGAAATCATCTCTTTAGTGTTAGTAATTACAAGTCTGAACTTTGGTTTGCAATGCTGAATAAAGATCAGATGACTAATTTGTTTAAAGCATGATATAGTGTTCGATTCGCTGATAGCTTGGTTGATTTCAAGTTGAACTGTTTTAAAACTTTTAAGTTCTAATACCCTTGAGCTGTTGGTGTTTGGCTCAGAAAAATCTTGCTACGGGATTTTAAATTATTTTACTGAGGACTTGAGATAGCTATTGCATGTCCAACTAGTTTTATATTGAAGGCAAACTTAGCTGGAGGGGGAGGGGGGGAACTGAAGTACTAATTTCTGCTAACTATGGTCTCAAGGACCAAGGTAGCTGGAGGGGTTGGGGGGGTAACTGGCCATATATCTCTTGTCTAAGCTAGCTTTGATAAATATTAAGGTCAAAGGTTATTTATCATTCATCTGTTCAATCTGCCCTGTTCATCTATATTACTTAGCCTCTCGTTTTTGCTTTCTTTCAGGGAGATGATGACAGAGAAGACAGGATCTTTTAGCCTGGTCCTTGAGAGACCCTTCTCTCCTTTTCCAATTCATGAACTGCATCTCTTGAGTGATCTTGACATTTTGTTTAATAGAGGTCGTATGCCTGTTGCCACTTGGAATAAAGCTATATTGGCATCAAATTTACAAACTTCTACTGAGGGTGGTGGAAATTCTGGCTTTGCAATATTTTCCTCGAAGTTTCTAGCATTGCAGGGATTGAAGTTTTTGAATGATGTAAATGGACACATACATTCAAAATTGCAGAAAAACATTCTTGCTTCACCCATTAGCCAACTTGTTTGTATTTTTTCTGAGGAAGAGCCTGGAGATGGTGAATGGGCTCATGGAAGCTTCCCACTGGAGGAATATATTAAGGCACTCAATCGTTCCAAAGACGAGCTTTACTATAACCACTATCTTGGCATGCGTTACAGTAAGGTGCGGTGTACATCTCTCTAATGTTAGATAGCTTTTCTAAGGCACTCACTTGTAGTGTTTCTTCCACCATCTAGCTGTACCCTGCTCTTCTCTCTCTGGCGCTCTCCCCCTATTTGCTTTTTTTTTTTTTTCTATAACTGCTTGAACCACTTCTGTTTGTTTGTTAGATTACAGAGCAGATATATGTCGGGTCATGTATACAATCAGACGCTGATGTAGAAGCTCTGTCTGATGCGGTGAGCACAAACAAACCTGTTATTTCAGCAGAATCATTTGCTTTTGAATGTGTGATATTATATCTTCGATCTTACAAATTTCTGCAACTATGATGCTTTTAATTTAAAGACTGATTTCTAGAGGATAAATGTGATGCCTATCAGTTATGCAATCCAAAATCTTGGGTTCATCGCTTCATTGTTGTCATTGAAACTGGATTTTCTTACAGGGCTTCTAAAGGATTTTTATAAAGAAAAAGATATGCTTGGCCCATTATTTCTTCGCTTGTTCTATAATTGTCAGAACCAAACAATAGTAAGTCTCAAACATTGTGAATCATGGGGCAAATAAATTTGCCTCTTCTGCATTTTCTTTGACAGATGAGTCTAGGCTCAAAATTTATGCCATTACAATTGCCTGTCTGATCTGTGTTTTTCTTTCTGTTTCATATTAGATGATGTCTTGAGAAAAGGCTATCTCCATTTCATCAATTTTTGTGTATTTGTTTCCCTTTTCTTCTCGGTGATGGTCTTTTCAGTAAATTGACATCATTTCTTTTGTTTCCCATCCGATATCTCCCATTGTTAACTTGGAATTCTGCACCAGGGAATCACGGCTGTATTAAATTTTCAGAGTGGGATTGAAGCAGAAAATTGGGGAATCAATTCCGATTCGATCAATGAATCATGCCAAAGATTAAATATCCTAATGATCAATTATCCTATAAAGTAAGCAAAATCAATGTTTCTATATTTTGTATATTTGTGAAGGATATTTTCCTTGCAAGGATTTTGTTCATGTTTCTGGATATGAACTCTTGATGCGTTAGCACTGAAGGTTTCAATACACTCATGTTCCTTGAACTTGTGAATGATATTACTTCATGATGAGTTTTCTATGCTAAGAGGTGAAATGGATGCTATTCCAATGATTTGGCATATATTGTTGTCAACTTTTAAGGCATGCTAGCTGGATAGAGCTGATTAATCTGCCTCTATTTACTTCATCAGGGATGGAGACTCCTTTGAAATGAGGAAGAAATTGCCATTCTCTGTTGGGCTATTATTACGCTTGTTGAAAAAGAACCACCGTGTCTTTGTTACTTGTACTACTGGTTTTGATCGATCTCCAGCTTGTGTAATTGCATACCTGCACTGGATGACTGATACTTCACTTCATTCAGCTCATAATTTTGTCACGGGATTGCATACATGCAGGCCGGACAGGTATTCGCTTCATTGTTTATGTGGCTCTATGCTTGGTGTATCGATGAGCTTTGTTGTGATTTGTCTGTTCTTTGTTTTAATTCATTAGTTTAGAGATTCATGTGCTTATTCACAGCTTTACTCCAGCATTCTTCCAGTACCAAGCTTGGCTGCGCGTAGGTTCTATATACATGATACATAGTAATGAATTTGATTGTTGCTAATGCACAAGATATCGCACTTACTTCCACAATCATCCATGGTCCAAGATTTTTTACTTGATGGAGTCAATGTACTTCTCAATCTTTTCTGTGCAAGATGGGAAGAGCAACTTTAATGGGAAAAAAGAAGAAGAAGCTTCTATTAGTATTTGGAATTGGCAGATAAATTATTTTGATCAGAAAGTAATGGAATATTATTTTGATCAGAAAGTAATGGAATTTTTAGGGCTCTCTTGCTGTTTTTAATAATTACACTGAAACACGTCAGGAAACTGAAAAATATGTATGTGCTTTGCTGAGCTTTGGTGTATATTATATTTTCAAGAATTTGTAGAACAATTGATTTGAGCTAAATGTAGGCCAGCAATTGCTTGGGCAACGTGGGATCTTATAGCTATGGTGGAAGGTGGCAGACATGATGGGCCTGCAACACATGCTGTGACCTTTGTGTGGAATGGCCATGAGGTAATTTGTTAAAAGCATGAATATGTTAAGTTACTGCTTGTCTTTCTTGTTTCTGCATTGGGCTATGCTACACAATTGGAAAAACAGGCAAAATGGTTTTCCTTTTCTGTTGGGTAGGGAATCCCACATCCTATAGGCATAGTGGCATAATCCCTTCCTGCAGTTGTATTTTAACCAAAGACTTATCAACTAAACTGGTAGGTACCTTGTAGGACTAATTCTATAATGTAGTCAGAAGCATGCAGGTTTTAAGCCATTGGTGCTACTAAAGTTGAGTGGTAGATGACAACTGCTCTTTGTGAAGCTTTTTCAAAGTCCAGCTTGTCTTTGTCTTACAGGGGGAGGATGTATGCTTAGTTGGAGATTTTACAGGAAATTGGAAAGAACCAATTAAGGCAACCAACAAAGATAGAGCAAAACATGAAGTTGAAATTAGACTTCCACAAGGAAAGTAAGTGGTCCATGTTCTATAACTCTCTTTTGAATTGCTCCACAAAACCACAATGAGTGTTATTTATTGGGGCTTTATGGTTGATCATCTACAGCATTTATTGTTTTCCATTGCGAATCTAAGTAGGCATGGTAAAAAGAATAACACTGCCAGACATCATGCAATTGGTTACTATGTTATTTTTACATTAAATGCAAATTGTCGCTTGTATTGCCTTCAGATATTACTACAAGTATATTATCAATGGGCACTGGCGGCATTCAACATCTTCACCAACAGAAAGGGATGAGAGGGGCAACATTAATAATGTGATCATGATTGGTGATACTGCTAGTGTGAGGCCCATAATTCAACCACAAAAGAAGGTTAGTCTCTGGGAACACCATCTAGTGAACTATATTGGGGGAAAAGAGAACCAAATTATGGATTTACAGAGTTGAGAGCTGATGGAAAAGGCCAAAGTTGTTAGGGATATAATTTTAATTATTATATATAGACACATCCTTGGTGAATAATGTTAAGACTTTTGATGTCTTAGGATGCCAATGTTATAAAGGTGATAGAGAGGCCCTTGACAGAGAATGAGCGAATCATGCTGGCAAAAGCAGCTCGTTGCATTGCCTTCTCTGTGTGTCCGATCAGACTAGCCCCCAAGTAGCTTTTCAAAGCTGGCTACTATCCACAATGTAAATTTTGTTCCTTGAGACTCCAAATCAGCATATTTCAATTCCTTCGTGCAAATACCTAGTATTTAGCCTGCAATAAACGATGAGTATGGATCTAACGTAATTCTTCCGGCTGCATGTTTAATTTGTTGTAGACTTTTAATTGGTGTCTATATATGTGAATAGAAATGCTTAACTGCTACTCTTAGCATTCACTTAAAAAGTTAAATTATGCAATTAGATCTTGTATTTTATAAAAAATGTGAATTTAATTTTTATATAATAATTTGTGTAAATAGAGTTTTTATATTTTTATAATTTATTAATTTCAATTAAATTTTAATATCGCTAAGTATATTGTCGTAATGTTTTAATTAATTTGATATGACATTGATTGAAATAATGTGATTATTTTTTATGTGATGTTGATTATGTATCAATATTTATAATAATGATGTGATAGTAATTAGATTGATAATATTTTATATTGACATGATACCGATTAGATTAGATTAGATTAGATTAGATTGATAATATTTAACATTGGCATGACACTTGCTGACAGACATGCATGGGGGAATTTTGACTCTGGTAATAAAGCATGTTTAAACCTATATAGTAGTATTCGATCTTGGATAACTCATGGATCATTTTCTTCTTTTTCATGGGGGAGTAAATTATAGTTTACCCGCAAAAGAGAAGCAACTTGGAGTGGAAGAGCATTTTGTCCTTTCTGTCGTAGTTGTGTAAGGCCCTGAGGGAATAAAAATAACATGACGACATCATTAGGTATATGACAAGAGCTGAACATATTTTCAAGTTGAACCACATTAATCTTCCTCACTTGGGTTCAGACATGTTGGAAAAGATGACAACAGAAAATGTTGCCATAACCTTCTTCATCGCTAAAAATGTCGACACCATTACAAGCACCAACGGTAGTCCAAATATATAATAACATCATCTAAGTTTCAATGATGCAAGGATCCTCCCTGTTTCTCTCAGTTAAGAATGTCACACTTACAGTCTTCAACTAGGAAGGATGATGTTGCAATTCGAGTTATTTTTGGTCAAGGAATCTCAAGATTTGAGAAAATCGTTGGGTTTGTTTGCATCATTCTCTTGCATGCAAATGTTCCATGGGTTGGACCAATTGTAGGTATTTCAGGAGGAGATGGGTTAAGCCAGTTTCCGATGGACTCTCTACGGGCTGAACTTGGTAGCATAAACAAGTGTATCTCTTTCTCATCACGTTCTGTGTTGCGGTTTTAGCATAGAATTATGTGAATTTCATATAGTTGAAATATGCTCTCAACGAGTAAAGTCGTAAGTTTCGTATTAAAGAGAAGTTTTCAACCGAGAATTAGGAAAAAGTGTCATGATCTTAAAAAAAAATTATGAATCTCACATCAGTTATGTATTAGAGTGATATTGGATATTTAAGGATTCACATTACTTTTAATTTGTAAAATTTATTTTGTGAGATAAAACGGTAAAGTTAATGGACTAAAGCGGTTAATATTTCATAAGAGTTGGTATGGACGTACCACGACACTTGCCATTCAAAAACAAGAATTTGGTGAGCAAGAAACGAGATTATTGACTTGGCTTTACATTGAATAAATCAAAATATTAGTGTCCTAATTGACCATTTTTTTTTCCTTATTTACCAGTTGATAACTTTTTCAAGTGAATTAAACTACATCTTCCTCATGTATAACTTTCCCTCTTTTCTGATAATAAGAGATTCATAAGATACAAAATTTGAGGTTAATGTCTCCTTTTCCAGGAAAAGGAATAGTGAAACCCCATTGGACTAGGGAAAGTGGAACAGCAGGTCATAATAATGTTGTTGCAATGCTTGAAAAAACATTTTGCAAGACAAGGCCATGGCTAGGATGTTAATTCCATCCACAACAAAAATCTGTAAGAAGCAGGCAGATCACCAGAGCCATGTTTTAGAGATAGGGCCTTATCTCCTCCATGACTACACCCGTCACCAATATTTACCCATCATCATGTCCCTCTCTCCTGCACCATTGATTTTTCATTCTAGGATTATCCCACCTTACCAGTCTTCTTTCAACATCCTCTTCTCATATCCAGACACGTGTCCCTCTTTTCTTTTTTCTTCATCTTTTGCATGTATCTTCATAAGATGGAGAAGGTATCTAGCTAGAAACAAATATTAATTCATCAATGTTGCTTTCTGGTGAAGAGGTAAATTAGTGTAGGCGAATGCATGACTGGTATTTATTATGAACATAAGAAAATATGTGGTTGGAGAGCTCGGCTGCTTACTTTTTGTTTTTCCTTTTTTTTTTAATAATTTTTGGGTATTAAAACTAATTGATACCCAAATTAAGTTTTCATTTCTCTGATTCAATTGTGAAAAAAGAAATTAATAATTTCGATAAATTAAAGAAGCATTAACGTAGGAACAGTTGAAGGGAGGCTATGTGGCATATGCTATATTTGTATAGTTACACCAACCACAGAGAATCCAAGCAATATGGCAAACATACGTGGAGAATGGTCCTTGCATGCATGTCTCAACAAGAAATTAACCACACACATGCAAGTATAAATGATAATATTAATTAAGATGATGAACGAAATTTGAAAAAGGCAAGTCATGGATCGTGGGGGAGAAGAAGGAAAATTTATCTCCAACGTCCAAACCTAATCTACAGGGGTAGAAGCTCTCGTTCACCAAGCTTTCGCTTTCATTATCCGGGGAAGATTGTGATAAAAGATGGTATAAATCTAGTAAATTATATGATCCCTTGTGCAATGTCGACGGCTTCGATCAACGGCTGGTGCCTCACCTCCACCTCTTCAGCTCTCAGGAGAGCCACACTGCGGCCTCCCACTTTCGCCAGGCTTAACTCTTCTGTTTCTCCTCCTACCCTTATCAGGAACCAGCCTGTTTTTGCTGCCCCTGCTCCTTTGCTCGTCCCTTCTAACTGGGTAAACATACATGCTCTCACTCTTTTCATACAAGTTGTTTTCATCTTATAATTCTGCATGAGCAAACTCCTTTCGTTGTTCTGCAGAATAAAAGCTGTTAAAGTAATACATCCGAACATTTAATTCAATGATCGATACGTGTTTGCTTAAAAAGTTGAGTTGGGATCTTCTTCTTCTTAATTAAAAGGGTGTGTTAGTGTGACTATTTTATGATGTCAATGTGGCGTTGCCTTAGAGTTCCCACTTGGAAATCTAAGGTTTTTTCATTTTCTTTATTATACATTGGCTTGAAGACGTGGATTGCCCTACTTCCACAACCAAAATTTTCACTACCCTTGATTCACTTTCCTAGACCTTTCTGCCTTGATTCACAACCGTGAACCGACTAATAACTCTTTCCAAATCACGTTTCATTTCCTGATTAGGCCACCACATGGCACTCTTCCAATGGTGCTAATGCCCACATAAGCAGCTTACAGCCTGGACTAATGACACTTGTGTGGCACTGATCAACTCAAAACAACCAAATCATATCCTCCTTTTCTGTATAAATATATCAGTATAATTAAATGTGAGCATATGAAACTGAAGTAGCCGAATCTCTGAAGATATTACTGTATACAAACAAAGATTCTCTGAAGAAGTCCCCAGACATATCAATATATTCTTTCACCCTATCGGTTCTTTGCAACTCTTCATCACATATATCTCTCTCCTTTCATTTTGTTTTCTGTCAAACCAGTCGTTTGGACAGACATTTTCTTAACTGTTTCCTTTACCCTTCGAAGAACTTTACCTAGATAACTTGAACGTGTAAGTAGATGTTAAAGAAGCAGAAGATTTTTTGATGGCATTACATTACCATGAATCATTTAATTTGTCTTGAGTTTTATTGGGGTTCGGAATTTCGCAGAACGAAGAGATGGGGAGCAAGTCGTACGAGGAGGCCATTGAAGCTCTAAAGAAACTGATGAGGTAAAAACAACGTTGTCTGTCTGTCCGTCTGATCTGTCCTCACTCTTTTAACTCATCTTTAATTAACAAACTGTCTCGTGTTGCTTAAATTTCCTGCTTTCGACCTTTCCTTTGTATTTCTTTTACATTACTAGCACTTTGTACTTATGATCTCTGAGCATGTCGAGACCCTCCATGATTAATCCTAGCATTCTTGGTCCACCACAAGTGTCCTTGTCCCACCAGAAGGCCCATTCTTACTTAACATCTTTATATATTAAGTACAAATAACTTTTGAAGTAAACTACAGCATTGTTTTATATATTTGATTGTAGTGAGAAGGGAGAATTGAAAGCTTCAGCGGCAGCCAAGGTAGACCAAATAACAGCTGAGTTGAAGACAGCATCATCTGATGGCAAACCATCTGATGCCTCTGTTGAGAGGTTGAAAGAAGGATTCATCTACTTCAAGAGAGAAAAATACGAGTTAGTCATCCATTTTCCTTCGTCAATTTTGTCTTCTACTTTATTAATCCTTTCATAGTCCTGCATTTATTAATAGGAGATCACTGCCCTTTTTTGCAGAAAGAATCCTGCTTTATATGCTGAGCTTGCCAAGGGTCAAAGCCCAAAGGTATATGTTCACTAACAATGTCAACTTGAGATTTACTTAATCTGGAAGTCTTGGATACAATTTGGTATCCGAGTTGTGTAACTAAAAGTCCAATAAGCATCTGCATGTGCTGAAACAAAAATAGACGAATGCTTCATTTGAGGTTCGTACTTTCTAGTACTAATTGTTCGAATAAATGGCTGCAGTATATGATTGTTGCCTGCTCAGACTCCAGGGTGTGCCCATCCCATGTGCTGGACATGCAACCAGGGGAAGCTTTTGTCGTCCGTAATGTTGCCAATATGGTGCCACCATATGATCAGGTAGTACCCCTTTAACCCAAATTCACTCAACCAATTGATCTGTATCTGTTTCTCAGTTCTCAGATGTATTAATAAGGACCAGGCTCTAAACATCCTGTCTATGCTATGACAGACTAGATATTCTGGAATTGGAGCTGCCGTCGAGTATGCAGTTTTGCATCTCAAGGTGACACTATTTAATTGAAGCTGCTATAGTTCTGTTAATTTTTGCTAGGGAAGACATTTGAAAACCAAGAAGAATTGAACTGGTTATTCTTGGAATCTCATGTAAGTGGGAGTGTTCTTTCTTTTGCAGGTGCAAGAAATCGTGGTAATTGGGCACAGCGCCTGCGGTGGGATCAAGGGGCTTATGTCTTTCCCTTATGATGGAACCACCTCTACGTAAGGCCTTTATCGTTTACAAAAAGCTTTTGCTATACATGTCTTATGGGGAGAATTTATATATATATATATATATATAAATGATGGATTTTGCTGACTAAAATTTACTCCAATCTGATTGATATTGGCAGTGATTTCATAGAAGATTGGGTCAAGATTGGAATGCCTGCTAAGACCAAGGTGCTAGCAGATAATCGTGGGGAACCACTGGGAGTTCAATGTACATGCTGTGAGAAGGTTAACACCTTTCGCAACTTCTTTGCTGTGTTGCCTCTTACCTTTTACACTTTCCCTTTGGGATGATTGTTTACTGCATATTGCCTGTTAAACCTCCAGGAGTTCACAACATCTAGTAGAAGAAAACCATGTCAATGCTACTTGCAATCAGAAGAGATTCTGAAACAAAGCCTTTTTTAGTAATAATAATAAGATCGCAGTTCCTTCCATTTGAATTTGAGTTGTGCATGTAAGTTTCTAGGGGATGATCCACAAGTTTTCTAACCAAAAATGGTGCATCATGATTTCAGGAAGCAGTGAATGTATCCCTTGGAAACCTGCTAAGTTATCCATTTGTGAGAACTGGGTTGGTGAACAAAACTCTGGCACTGAAGGGTGGTTACTACGATTTCATTAAAGGAACTTTCGAGCTTTGGAGTCTTCAGTTTGCCCTTTCTGCACCTCTCTCCGTATGAACACCAACCATCACCAGTGACACCATCCTTGTTCCTTAACTACTAGTCTTTTTTTTTAGCTACAATGTACTCTGTATGCTTGTGCCTTAGTACCGATGAGCTATAAATTACAATAAATATATGATGGAGATCACCAGCGGCTCCTTTGATCTATAAATTCTCATTATATTTCCTTTTTACCAAGAAGCTTAAACATACTTCAAATGACTTTATTCACGGCTGCATTTTTCTTTTCTTTTCTTTTTCCTTTGTTAGGTAAAAGATGTCGCCACGATACTACATTGGAAGCTCTACTAGGGACATGCTTAGAGGTCATCCCTGCAAAGATGAGGCTCTGATCCTTCATTTTCTCACATTATAATATGAACTGAGTTTTGTAGACAAGAGACATTTTTCAAGAACTGGGGTCCTTCCAACTATTTTGAATAATGTTAGCCAAACTTCTTCAGCATATTTATAGCTAGCTCCAAGGATATGTTGCTTGATTAATGCAATAGCACATAAAATATAGAACAAATCCATGATTGGATCATGTCATATAATCTTATAAACAGGTAAATGAAAGAATGGATTAAATTTCCCATGGGAACAGAAAAGGGTTTGGTCCATTTTCACAGTTTTACAAGAACTTGCGAAAGAGTAGAAAGAAGTTAAATGATTCAGCTTGATCCAAGTGACAGAGATAAAAAAAATAAGTTGTGACATGAAAATGGCAGGATATTGTTAATGAATCAAAGACGACTTTACTCTTTAAACTTTAAGTGTTTATGAGAGATAGTTAATGAGTGAGATTGATACTTCAACATCTCACTCTTCCATTATTAATATCAATCAATATGGGTGGGTTTCACTGGTGTGTTTCACTCATGAACTTGAAGGCTTTTAATTGCCAATAAAGACAGGCATGTGGACATGCTCTTCCTCAATGGTGTAAATGCAAACTTTTTAATATCATAATGTCTACTGTTCTGTTCCTTTTTTTACCAAGTGAGGGAAATAATTGGGACAATTCTTTATTGATACTCTTGCTATAAATGTAGACTGCAGCTACAGAATTAATTAAATGCATGGTGAAAACTGGATATGTTGTGGTTGTGTGTGGATGATATTGAGTAAAAATTTATTATGCCTTTTTGCCATGATACCACTTAAACTAAATCTATTGAATCAAACTATTGAAGAGTGTAAGGTTTTCTGTAGAGCTAATTGGGACTTGGATAATTTCTAATTGGTAAAGAGGGTCCAAATCATTGTTTCTTTTTGGCAAATGCAAATCGTAATCTTCAAAGAATTTCAAGTTGGATAGAGGGGTTAACTGTCATAGGATAGGAAAAGCTAGTTATATAGTCATTACTGAGAAATAAATGATAACTGATCCCCCAAATTAGGAAAAGTCCTATCAAGCAAGATCAAAAGAAGAATATTCATCAAGGTACTCCATCATGGTAAGTGAACTTAGCTCCAAATCATCACCAGGAATCCAGAAAGGGTTCACATAACTCTCACTGATCCCTGATTCTTGAGTAGCGTTTAAGACCTCAGTGGCTTTCTGGCAACTTTGATCCACTGCTGCTTCCATGGTTCCACTGGTTGCATCTCCTGGACTTGGATCTATGGCTGCGTGATCAGGCTCATTCACTTGCTTGGAACTTTGACGAGAATGAACCCTTTTTCGATTTTGCTCTTTGATGCCCATCTTCTTGCTCAGATGACCATTCCAGTAATTCTTCACTTGATTGTCAGTTCGTCCTGGCACCCGTTTAGCTATCAAAGACCACCTGAACATAAACATTAATGTTAAATTGTTATGAATTTTTGTTAAAGCCAAGCATCAAATATGAATAACAAAACCTGTTTCCAAGAAGCTTATGAAGTCTAATGATGAGGTCTTCTTCTTCCTCAGAAAAATCGCCTTTCTTCACGTCGGGGTTAAGGTAATTTATCCACCTAAGCCTACAGCTCTTCCCACACCTGTTCAAACCTGTACGAGGAACCAAGAAGAAAGACCATTCACTTCTTTTAATAAATATGAATATGGAAAAGGATGAAAGTATAAGGAAAAAACAGAACAAATGAACTGTGTTATATGAGTTATGACCTGTCTTCTTGGCTATTTTATTCCACTGTCCTTTTCCATTCACCTTGACATAATCCATGAGTATCTTGTCTTCCTCCACTGTCCATAACCCTTTTCTGTATGGACTTTCTCCTTTTTTCATGGTCATTGTTTGGAGTTCTTGTTGTTGCAGAAGGCAAAGAGAGAAGATGATTTTGTAGAGTAGCTTTGTTGTATCAGGAATTGTTATGAATGAACCTTTGACAGTGTAGCCTTTTATTTATTATGGAAGTAATGATGAGATGATGATGAGATGGCAGAGTTTGGATAAATTGCTCTTAACAGCTGTGGCACACATCTTGATATAATATATTTTTGTAAGCTTTCTTATAGTTTTGTTCATGTGATGCTATTACCCTCATGACATTGGTTTTAGCTAAGGGTTTTAATTTTATCTACTGCATTTTTTTTCTATTGTTTCTATGAAATTAATTAGTATGTCGTTCTGGATTTGGAACCAAAGGAGGAAATGCATCAAATGCTATTATTACACTTTCCTTTTGCCATTAACCCTAACTCAATGGTTGTTATTAGAAGGTTCTAATAGTTTTTGCCCCCTTCATTTAAGCAAGCATTTTCTGTGTTTTAGTGATGTAAATCAGCAAAACATGATTGCAAGTAAAAGAATTTATGACCAACTGCCTCATCAGTGCATGCACAGACTTTAACAAATGCACATTAATCTACAATTGGAAAGCCCACTTAAGGCATCCTTTGTTTTTGGGGGACAACCAATTTCCTTTCCTATTTTCTGTACTCACAGCTATGAGCTGCCTTCCTCAGAACAGTCTGTCCTCTTGTTCTTCACTTTCTTCTATTCTTTTGAAAAGTCTACTTAACATTAGGGTGTCCCTTAGCTACTAAGCTACAGTGAATGGCTATTACTATTAAGAGCATTGTTGCTGAATTGTACAAAGGTGAAAAATTGAATAGAACATGTGTTTGTATCAAAGCTATCACACGTATGTGCATTATATGACCAATAAGGGCAAAAAAAAAGAAAAAAAAGATACCTACTTCTCAATCTAGAAGCCTTATGAACTTTAACTGTTTCTTTAAAGTTTTTAGTTCAATGTTAACTATCTTGGAATGTTGATAATGATTATAACTCATGCAATCTAATGGGACATAACATGAGAGCAGTTGAATTTGAAATGGAAAGATTCTAGAAGAATGGAAGACCATTTCTATGTCACATTTAATTGTGAATACAACAATATATTGTATTTTTAAAATAAGGGAGATCATGTGGTATTTCAAGTGTGACTAAATGGATCTAGAGAGTGCTCATACCTACTCTGCATTAATGTTTGAGCTGCTATATGCACCTAACAATTCCATATGTAGTATTTCCTTCAGAAAGAAATAGGGTAATAAAAGGAAAATGAAATGATTTGCCGCTTGCTACACCCCAAAGGTACAGAAAACTTATTAATGAACTTATATGGAAAATAAAAAAATAAAGCAAGGCCTATCTCTCTCATCAATCTCTGACAAAACAAAACTAATGTAAAAGTTGTTTTTTTTTAAGTTTGGAACTTCACTAATAAATTAACAAGAAAGATATAAGATGGCTGCAGCTACTTTAAAGAGGCTAGTGCATTCCGCTTCACAATGTGAAACATTGATACCAAAGAAAATACAGCAGATGGCATATGTACAACAGGACCATTTCCAGTGGAATAGTTAATAAATAATAACATTTCCTTGTATATCTACTGTTTTTAAGTATACACAGCATACCAAAAGACATTTCATGACTCATCTGGCTTTGGCTCAAGAATTACAGGGATCTTCTCCTTATGATCACCGCGCAACACCTCCACAGTAACCTAAGAATCAAGATAATCGAAAATTTGTACATCAGAAAGATTTGAAGAATAATCCCTCTCTTTATTGATATATATATCTATCAAAAGGATAAAGGTACTGTTCAATACTATACCTGTTCGCCAACTTTGCATTGATCAAGAATTCTGTACAAGTCACTGCCACTAGTAACCTTCTTTCCATTAACAGATGTTATTATATCACCCAAAATAAGTCTACCATAGGAATCACGCTTCGTTGGTTGCAGGCCCTGTAATATATTAAAGCTTGGCTGTGTAAATGGAAATTTGAAATTATCAACTTGTTATTGGAAACATAATGACCAAAGAGTATGACTTCAGATACATGAAAGTGTGATGCAGAAGAAAGAAATAGTAAGCATACCGCCTTGCCAGCTGGACCACTTGCAGGAGCATCTAAGACAAGCACACCACTTACTCCCAACTGTTCGACAGATTGATCCGGTGCAAATTTAATCCCTAAAACAGGTCTTGTCACCTTCCCAAACTTCACCAACTGATCAACAATGCCACCTACCTGGATATGTAAGAATGACTGGATGAATTATCCTTAAGAATAGAAAAAGAAACAAATAAATTCTTGCATCTCAATCACATTGCTCAACCTAAACAGTACACATATCTGATCAAACTGAAATACAAGGTCTGAGTAATAACTCACCGTATCAACTGGAATTGAAAATCCAACACCAGAAGATGCACCGGAAGGAGAATATATAGCAGTATTTATCCCAATAAGGTTTCCTGAACTATCTAGGAGTGGCCCTCCACTGTTACCAGGATTAATAGCAGCATCTGTCTGAATTACATCTTGAATTGGGCGGCCAGTTGCAGCAGAACTTATTTCTCTGCGAAGCCCACTATAGATAACATATAAAAGAAGTGTTAGCAAAACTCTAATTCATATATCAACCAGAAAAAGTAGGTGGAAATTTAAATATGATACATATGAATGAATATTATTGACTGCAAATTCTTGGATTTTGGTACCTGATAACTCCAGTTGTAAGAGTATGATCAAGTCCAAACTGCAAACCATAGAAGGAATATTTATTAAATCCAGTTAAACAAGCTCTCAAAGAGACCCAATAATAGCAGTCAAAGTACATGATCAAATGAAATCTTGATCAGGCACTTATAAGCCACATTACTAGATGAAGGCAACTATACTTTTTGGTAATCAGAATCATATTGGGCTTTAATTTATATATGCAAATTGCAATGCAACTTTTCTTGTCCATGCCAACCTTTTTAAGCATAATAAGAAATTCTTTGCAGACAAATTTTATAAAGAAAGATAAATTTGATCTGTTTACATGGCTTATCTGAAAATAACAAATAAGATATTTATAATTGCAGGAAAGGTATGTGATTTTCAATATAATGAAAAAACTGGCTGTTCCTTCCCTAGCCAATGAGACAATTATGATATTTTCTAATATTTAGACATTTAAGATATCCAGAAATCAACAAAGACAATCTCCAATAAAATGAAACAAATAAAATATCATGTAAATAGGAAATAATGCACATGATTCTGCGAGTATAAACATGCACTCACAGGGTTGCCAATAGCATATACTTTCTGGCCAACAAGCAAATCTGCTGATATTCCGATAGGTATAGGCCTTAGTTTGTCTTTGGGTGCATCAACACGCAATACAGCAACATCCTTGTCTTGGTCAAATCCAACAATTTTTGCATCATAAGTTGACTGGTCAGCAAGAGTAACCCTGCAAGTTACAAGTACCAACTTAAATATCAAGGAGAAGTTTAAAAACATCTTTATCCTATGTATCCCTAGTGTGAAAGGCACAGCTAGTTTCCAAGGCTAATCATAGTTCTCCATAGAAGATTACTTTAGAGACTTAGAACCAATGTTAATAGCAAACTAAAACCCAAGTTTAGCAACCTAAATCTAGTCCAAAACCTACAAAGTCAATCATTTACTTCTTCAAAACTGAAGAGTGCATCCTTCCATTGCTCTGACAAAATACAAAACAAAGATACTATTAAAAACCTAACATAATTTGTCACATACCACATTCTGCTTCTGTTAGAAACGCCTAAACCAGTCCTCAATAAAGGGAAAAAAAACCCATCTTGCCAAAACATATTTGTCTTCCAATATCTGAATGCTTAGAGAACCAAATAGACTACAAAGTCCATGCTTTTCCTACATTCCTAACACTTCAAACAAGACGATTTATAATACGAACAACATCCATAAAAATCTGGGTTCATATAGCCTACAGATATTTCCATTAGCATTCTAGAATAATTCAATCCCAATCACTTCCAACAACAAAAACAACAGGAAATAACAAAATAAAATAAAATAACGAACTTGAGATCAGAAGCACCACGGATCACATGATAATTGGTGACAACGTGACCATCTTTATCCCAAACGAAACCCGACCCGGATCCTTGTGGTACCTCCAACACATCCAATGTGAAAGCATCCTGCCTAAAAATCCCATTACCAAAACGAAAAAAAACCCCGACTTAGCAAAGGAGAAATAGAAACTACCAAATAGCAAACTCCATAGAAAACCCAAAAAAAGGGAAAAACTGAATGCACTGACGGCGAGATTGGTGATGTAAACAACGGAGGGAGTGTTTTCTTGAAAAAGACGAACCGTGGACAACTCATCGGACTGTAACTTCCGGGGAGTGGATACAACAAAGGCTGAGGCGGGTCCCACATCGGTTACAAATAGGGAGAAAGATAGAGCAAGGGACGTGCAGAGAAGAAACAAGGAATCTAAAGCTGAAGCAAAATAACGATTACTATCACAAGAGTTACTGGCAGTATTACTTTGGGTCCACTAAATGAGATTGTGGAGGGAAGAGAGGGAAAGTTTGCTGGATGGAGAGAGAAAAGAAGGCGTTGGGGCGGGAGAGAGAGAAAGGGAAGGAAGGGGAGGGAGCTTGGGTGTTCTGTTTGGGAAGCTTGAATACGGGGAGGAAGGGGAAGGGGATTGGAGGAAGAGTGAGGAAAGGAGTGAATAAGCTGCCATTGTTGTGTTACTGGTCTGGACAACTAACTGGAGCTTTATTGTTATTGACTTTTTCTCGTGTTGATTGGCTGGAAAGAGCTTGTACGGAATTTTTATTTTTATTTTTATTTCTATCTATGGAATATTATTAACATATATGACTTTGGCATGGGATTGGATGATGTGCCATTAATACATTAATTACAATTTTACACTTGTTTTCAATGATCTGGAGAAGTTTTTGCAATCAATATATAATCTAGAACTTGTTGGAAATTTTTTGGTTCTGTAACAAAGACGAAAGACTCATTTCTGACCCAACACCAGCAATTTAAGATAATGAGTTTTACAACTGGGCCAGCCATACTCACGTGAAAAATAAGTGATTGGTATCTGTTATAAGGGAGGATTATGGCTTCACACCAATTTTTGGAGCTACTCTACCCTACAGACATCCAAGAAATACTAATTATTTTCCAACCTTTAGATATATTGATTTATAGATTAATATAATAAATTAGTTATATATTTAGTACCCAAACTAAAGTGAAACTGTTACTTTAGTACTTAAAGTTCTGAAAAAAATACAAATTGATTAACCCAAATCAAGTTTGAGTATTTAATTACGAAACTTGAAATTTGAGGTGTTAAATTGTTACTACCAAATATAAAATTAATCCTAAAATAATCTATATTTAACTAACCAATCCCTTCCCATCATTGATTTAAATCTGACAAGGGTTATTAGTTAATGAATTATTTTCAGTTACTCCAACAATGAACAACTACATTACTTAAATTGATAATACCCTGCAGCATCACGCGGGTACACAAACTCGTTGAAATCTACAAAATTATTCCTTGAGGTCTCAATTCCTTTGGCAAGCTCTCGAAGTTTCCAGCATTTACATCTGATTGTAGCATGGGTCTTTTCCCAATCTTCCAAACAATACCCTCAGCTAGGTGCTCCTTGTTTGGCGTCAGCATTACAAAATTTGGATCAGCTCGTTCATAGCTGAAAAAACCAAAAATATGTTACATCATCACTACATGTTTATATATATATATATATATAATTTTAAAATTTTTGAATATTTTGAAAGGCCGTTCCCTTTGGTGGCAACACAGCCCTCCACCCTTGCATACAAATACAAATATATGTGTGTGTATTTGTATGCAAAGGCAAAGGGTTGTGCTGTTACGAGGGTTTATATATATTATATAATTAAAATATTAATTTATATTAATTTTCTTTAAAAAAATAATATTAATTTATATCATTATTACGAAAATAAATAAAAAATATTTAATTTTAAAATTTTTTTCCAAATATTTTATATATTATATATTTAAAACATTAATTCATATCACCATTATGAGCATAAATAAAGAAAATATTTAATTTTCAAAAATTTTAAAATATTTTATATATTATATATTTAAAACATTAATTCATATAATTATTATGAGAATACGAGTTGTGCAAAAAATTAGTAAAAATAGGAAAGTTAATAAATTATTATTGATTAATAGATTAATTCACCATGTTTTGAATTTTCCGATTTCTACAATAACTAAATAGTTAGTTTTCTAACAACAAAAATTATGAAAATAAAACTTCGAAATAAAATAAATGATGAATTTTTTACAAATAATTTAATTATTTATATTAAAAAGGTATTCTTAACTTTTTCAATACAAAGTTAATAATTTAATTGATAAATTTAAATTTAAAAAATATTATCGAGCACAATTTTCTTAAAAAACTATTGTAAGCGTTTCTTTTTTTATTCTTTTTCATTTGCATCTTATATAAAATTATTATTTATTATGAATCTTTTGATTATTGATTAAATTCAAAATATTAGTTTTAAAAATTTTTAACCTTTATTTTCCTTTGTCTTTGACCCCTTCAATAAAAATTAGTTAACTCCCCTTATTTGTATGTATATATATGTGTATGAGCACGCGTGTGTAGATATATATTGACGACTGACTTTTCTCATAAACATATATTGAGATATTTACATTTGATTGAATTAAGGAAAGAAAGGAACGAACCTGGCTTCTCTTAAATTTTCTACACGGAGGCCAAATCCATAAGCTGTAGTCCGAGAAATTCGATCTCTAGTTGCTTCAAATTACAGAAAATACGTGAGTCCTAGACAGCATGTAGGATTTGCTAACAAACTATGTTTACATATGTATTCCGCTCTAGCAGGAAAAGGGTCGTAAGAGCATACCTGAAATGCTGAAAGTAAAAGAAGGTTTCCACCAAGACTTCAATGCCAGAGCCAGTGAGGAGCTGAGAGGTCCCATCTTTCCCTGAGAAAGCAACAATCAGATGTTGTTGGACTTTATATAATCACGAATAGGGAAGACAAGTATGCATAATAAATATTTACCTTCAGCATGAAGTTTTTATTGGCTTGCCAGGACGCTGCTACTTGAAAAGTGGAATCAGGGATGTTGTTTGATGTTTTGGTATCATCCATCCTTTAAAAATGTTTACTGAAGTCAGATATTCAGTATTATTCATTACATGTTAATTTCCTTGATTGGAATACCTTGTCTGTAATTCAAAGCCAACGTCAATGTAATTCGTTATTCCAACTACTTCATTTTCTTCAAGGGGATTCTTCACCTGTTCCATTGAAGCACTTTCTTCAGTGTCTTATCACAAAAATTGTGTCTGAAAAAAACGAAAGTGAAAATAATAGAAAAAGTAGAACATGCACACAAGCTGCTGCAAAAAGGAAAGGGACAGGGGTTTGGATATTGCAGATTGTACTACAATTGATCTTCATGACAAAAGTATGGCATCAATACTGGCCTATCAACAGAATTGGTAAAAGGTCTTTCTTCCCATATAGGTCATTCAATATAAGCATTAAATCTAGATTGAAGGCACATAATTTAGACTAATGCTACTATGTAAAGAACTCAGCTCCCAAACTCAAATAAAGCCTTTCAATTCAAACTTGGGACCCAACTAAGATGCCTACACTCACAAACATAATATGACCACAATTCATGTCATGTCATCTTACATATGATTAGCTGTGAACCCGGGATTCATGTTTACTGGGATGCACAAAAGGTTGAAACTTGGAAAAAAGAACCTAAATTATATTCATTTGAAATTCCAGCATTGGCAACATGTTGAAACAAGATTATTTAAGAAAGAATAGTAATGCAGGTGTAGTGATCGAAGAAAAGATCAATTTGATAAATAGGAGAAACAGACTTGATAAACATACCCTCCTTTGGACCACCACATGTTGATAGAATGATGCAATGAACTGCAAATGAAGATAATAAAATAAAATATCAGCACAGAACTTTACAAGCCACTGATGGAAAACAACATCTGTAGATGCACTTAGGGAGAAGGTCGATCAGAAATCAAACACCAGAAACTGCATGCACAACAATTCAGAAAACAGTATCCTTGTTGATCAGACATTAGTACCATCCAACGCTTCCTAGCTTTAAGTTCGAGTAATATGACAAACTTTCACCCATGTGCCCACTTGAACTAAGCCTCTTCGAAAAAAGTTGAGGGTTCTCAAAATTATGAAGCACCCATGTACAAGTGAATAACCAAAAGGGGGAGGGAAAGAGAGAGAGGGGGGCAGGGTGAGGCCTTCATTCTTCATTTCCATATCATTTAACTATAGAAGACTGAAGTAACAGGTAAGCAATTATGCTTTGCTACAGAAAAACAAAAAAAAAAAAGGAAAATCATTCCTGATACTTATTTACATTTTTTAAATCAGGCTAAAATGCAAAACAAGTCACGATGGATGGTGAAAAAGCCATCCACTCTAAATAATGATCTAACAGATCGATGGAAGGAAAAATTTGTCAATTCTTATTTATAAAGTTCTCCTACCTGGGAAGTGATTTCATGTTGTCCAAAACTTATGCTTCTGTTGGTAAGGGAAGGAAACATGCTTGATGGTTCTGTTTCCTAGTCTTACTGATTTTGTGTATGATTTCTGTTAGTAATAGGTGTTTTAGGTGATGTTTCTGAGGGGAAGGATGCTAATGTTTTGGGAATGAATTTGTAATGAAGGGCTGGGATGTCTACTGGTGTTTTCATTTTTTTTGTTCGCCAGTTTGTTTGCTGAGGGTCTAGACTGATCTCCTACCAGTCTTGACACTTGGATGGTATAGGGCTTCCCAACCTTGTGTGAATGAAACTTAATTTTCAAAAAAAACCAAAAGTTTCTCTTTGAGAGACAAACTATCAGCAGTAACTGATGATCCGAACTTATTAAACTGTGAACAAACCTGAGAACTTTTAGCAAGTTCGAGGCCAAAATTAAATGATGGACTCAAGGGACTGCCCGATCCTACTCCATAACCAATTGCACAGCTCCAATTCAATAAATTTTTATAATTCATGTCATCTTTGCTTCCATCTGAAAATAGAACCATAAAGTGCACACTGAGTATCATTTTTAACATAATCTCACATGAAGTACAAGAAAGATTGCAACACATGCTGACATTCAAAAATCAACATACTTTGAAACAACTTTTATAAGTCATATGCTACATACATAAGAGGATGTTTTCTCATAGTGAGGTGTATGTTACTTTAGCTACCCTTAAAAATTTATGATCTCTCAAATTTTCAATGCTAGAGTTTGAAATGGACACAGTCGATTAAAGCATTCCCATAAACTGTAGCGAAAACTTACAGATCTATCATATAAAAGACGCATTTAATCCTTCCAAATTCTCATAGTGAGCTCCTTGCCTAATTTAATATATCTCTTTAACCATTCCCCTATCTTTTACGTGTATGAACTCCTAATAATTTTGTTTGTTTGGCTTCTAGTTATGCAGAAGCAACTTGATATCAATTTGTTTATAATTTATGTAAAAGACACAGACAGACATTCTCAAAATCAAGCAGTAATTTAGCCACTCATCATAAGATTTATGTGCTAAGCCTTGAATTATGCACAATAAATATGAAATGAGTAAACTTACATTGTGGCTCATATTGAACCCCAACAGTAAACCTTCCCAGCTTGCTTACTAGCCATGCACTCTTTGGCAATTCATCTTTAACTGCAGAGATAGAAAATTATAAAATATAAGGTTTTTTTCAATGCATTTTGTACATTTATATATTGTTGTTGAGAACAAGAAAAGTAATATGTAAGAAACCCATAACATAGGGAAACTTGACTGATACAGTCAACAATTGAAAAGCAGGGAACTTATTAACTATAAATCCAGAACACATACTGGCGTAAGGCATAATTGTGACTCCGGCTGACAACTTTCCTGAGCCATATCTCAATCCCATAACACCATAGTCTTCAGCAGTTACTCTGCAGGAGTTATAGGCTTCACCAACAGAATGCATGTGATATATGTGACAAATAAAGTAGCTGAAAATACCATGAAGGCGGCTTTAAAAATATGATTTACCTTTTCTTTGATAGCAATGGCAAAATGCCAAATGCCCCAAACCCATATCTAGGATAGTAAGCACAAGACCTCATCTGTAGAACACTGAAGTCACAGCAAACCATGAATTATGCAAAACCAGATCAAATACAGAACGAAAACAAAAGTTTATACTTCAATCAAAACAGCCTTACTGATCAGAGTTTGATACGAAAAGGTCCATGAATGTATGAGGATCATCCACGTCACTGCTCATATCAAAAATAACATTATTTACAACATATTTGTCACAACTCTTTACTACAATGCATAAGAAAAGCAATTGAAGAATATTAATTACCAGGGCCTTTGTTACAATCCAGCAGAATCTTAAGGAACAAGAAGTTTATAATTACCTTTGCCAGCGAAATAACGCATTTCCAGCAATTTTCTCTTCAGGTTTATGATCAAGTGGACCTGAAACCTAATCATGAATCTTGTTAAGGAATAAATAACTTCTTGCTTCATCTTATCTCAATTATCAATTCCTTATATCTCATTTTGCAATAACAGAAAACGAAAACTAAAAAAAAAAAAATTAACGGATACGGTTGCCATTATGTCGACATGAGGATCATCGATCGGTTTCAACATAATAATAGTACTAAAATGTCTAGCTTCTTCGAAATAATCTTCGAACAAGCATTTCAAAGCTAGCTTCCCAAACAACATATTATACGAAGATTGCAGCATCCTGGAACAAACAATTTCAAAATTTTCTTTAAAAACACCAAAAGGAAAAAGGAAATTGAACAGAAATTTCAAATTGAAAGCGGAGATTGAAGTGGACCTGGTACGGGCGGCGATAGGAGGGAAATCGAAGAGAGGAGGGACGAGAACCACCGGCGGCGGCGGTTCTTTATCAAACCAATTCCCCATTTCTGCTGAGAAGTTTCTAGCGTTCTATTTTTCTTTCGTTTGGGAGTGGAAAGGAACTGAGATTGAGCAAAGCGAAGAAGAAGAAGAAGAAGAGGAGGCAAAATTGCCCGCGCATCTCGGGTTTTAGGATTTTAACTTCGATGACGGTTTCAACCGAAAATGCTAATGACGTGGCATTATATGGAAATTCCAATAATTTTAATTTTTTTTTCTTTTTTCAGTGCGAGGACGGGATCTGGATCAATAATGCGTGGACGGGATAACCGATAAGGACCCATTGGCCCGAAAGGCCTGTCCGAGTTTTGGTCTTGGGTTTTCATTTGGAGTAACTTAATTTATTCTTTTGGGTTTGTTCATTTAATAGTCCACTACAAAAGAACTGCTTATACTCAATAAATAATGACATGAATTATATATTCCACAATTGTTATTTTGATAGATTCTTTGCATAAGAAACCTCATAAAATTGATTGTAGATCATGATATTATTGTAGAAAAAGTACTGTAACAAGGTTCATATAGCAGGTTATTATAACACGACATAGTTTCATAAGAGTTTGATTTTGACTTGATCATATTGTCAAGAGAGATCTAGAGTCATTTAGAATACTTTGGTTTATATTTAGTGTTATGGACTATGATGTCCCTTGGTATAGATACTAATCCTTGTACTGATATTAGAGCTACTATTGTATTGATTTATTTGTTTTCATATATTGGATTTAATATCTAATGGAATATTTGATTCAAGAACAAGTGCATCAAATTATGGGGAGGTTAAAGAGTGTGAAATTCAAGAGAGATTTGTCATATGGTAATTATGGGTGGTTTTTTAATAACCAAAATGTAATTTGATTTGAGAAGATAAACTAGTATTTTTTTGTATTAATTTTATGTTTTCTTTATATGGTTATGGTTTTAACCGATGGATTTTTTTTTTTATAAAATCCATCTTTTATTATATGTTATGGAACAATATACTAATACCTTCAAGTTTTAACCATAACCATAATTATACATAAGTCTATTAGTTTTTAAAATGAACACTTCATCTTAAAAAAATATCTTCGATTGAACATTGAAATCCAGTAATTAATTAAAAATTAATATTTCAATTTTATTTGTTGATGTAATAATAATAAAAAGATAACTTCGCTTTTCATTAATATTCAAAATTATCAAATTATAATTTTTTTTTTAAAAAAATTATCCCACTTCTTATTGTCTAACTACCTCGCAATCAGATCTGATTGGGAAGTAGTAGATTCGACTAGATCAATGCTCTCCAGACACGATGGGTGCATGGTGCTCCTTCAATTGAGGGCACCACAATGGGTGCCCCCTAAATTGGAGGAAGCATGATCAAGTGCCCTCTTTTGATTTGATTACGGGAGCATTAATTTTGTGCTTCTTTAAAGAGATTTGATTGGATTTGGTATTTCACAATCAAATTTAATCATGGGGTGATCGACTAATGTAAAAAAATATTGTTGGTCAATCACATAAGAAAAAAAATGAAAAAAAATAAAAATATTTTAATAATTTCATGCTTCGATATTAATATTGTTAATATTTTTGAGATTAAGTGTTTAGTTTGCAAATTAATAGAGTCATATAGAATTATGATTAAAATTTAAAAATATTAATGTATTTTATTTTATATTTTATAAATAAAATTATGAGATTATTAATTTTTTTTTATTCAAATTATACGAAACAATTGTTACATGCTCACTCGGTAGCCCTCCTTGTATGACACGTGATTGTACCTTGTGGCCCCAGTAACACAGCATCCGTACGCAGGAGATGGGCTCCTTCACTTGTGGAATCCAAAAATGTTGTCTCATAAAAAATAAAAATAAAATTATATTTCATATTTAAAAACCAATAATCAATTTGATATTATTTATTTTCATTTTGACAAAATTTATGGGAAAGTTGGAGGGCCACGTGAAAGGGATGGAGTTGTTTATTCACATACGGCAAAACTATTTGTCAAGAAATTTTGGTGGAACCCACAGAATTAGGGCCACATATTCTCATGACGTGGACATTGCCAGCCCTTCAGTACAGGCCGAAATGGCCTCTCCAACGCTTCAGTTGGCTTTTGCTCTTTCTGTGAATGACCCTCTGACCTACAACTTTGTCTCGTCCTTTTCCAGGAGACCGTGAGGTTACAGTCTATGACGAACATATCAAGAATTTAAATAGAGAAAATTGTAATATCATATTTTATATTAAAATTAAATATAATTATTAAAATTTATATAAAAATTTAAATTAATTATTACTAATTATTTAAATTTAAATTTTTATATAAATTTTAATAATTATATTTAATTTTAATATAAAATATGATATTACAATTTTCTCTATTTAAATTCTTGATATGTTCGTCATAGTCATATATTATAATTAAAATCATTATAATTATAATCAAGATGCATTTTGATACACAATTTAATATCAATTACATTTATCTATTCCAAGCACCACTTATCTAATAATTTTTAAAAATTTAAATTTAAATAATGATTGATTTAATTATTATATAAATCTAAACATTAATGTTCACAAAGAAAATACTATGTGGGTCCATATGATAACTTTTTTGACTGCCTCCTCAGCCTTTGAATGGACAAAGTAATGTTGGTTTTGCATTTTCTACGATTAATCAAGCACTAAACTACAAAATTAAGATTTTAATTTGGGTGCTTTCTATTATTATTAATTTTAATCAATAATTTTGGATGGTTCAAGTTTAAATCAGAATTAATAATTTCTTATTGAATGCCGAGCATTGCATGTGGTTTGGCTTTAGTTGATCTTATGCTTATTTTAATCAAATAAAGTGCTTATTAGAGAAGAGATTAAACAGGATCCGATTACAATAATAGACAAGAAGGAGAAAAAAAATAAAGGAAAAAAACGTAGGCGGCTCACAAAAGGCGAAAGAAGGCGCAAATTGCAAGGATTGTTCATGAGTGGAGGAGCAATCAGCAATAGAGAATCTTGGTGTGGCGTCTCGCCCGCCATTGTAGTTCTTTCTTCTTCGAGCTCTCCTTCCTCCTAAATTTCCTTCAATCCCTATTCTTCATCTTTTATTGACTGGTTATGGTTAGTTTCACCTTGTAAAGACCAAAAACAACAACACCCGGACTCAGATTTTCCATTTTTTTGGTTGTAAGTATTGACTTTTTTTTTCTTCTTCTATGTTTACTCAATGTTTGAAGGAATTATGGGATCTGGGTTTTGTTTTGCCATGAATAAAGATGTTGTTTTCAGCTTTAAACTTCCCCTTTTGGAAGGTTCTTTCTTTGTTTCAGTTAGGTCGGCATTGAGATATTAGGAATTTCACTTTATCTCTGGCTTCTGAATGGTTTTTCTGGTTTTCTTTGAAATGGAGTTAAATTAATGCAAAACTTGGATTTTTCTTATGGAGGGCAGCGATAGTTTTCTTTCTAAATGCGTTTCATGAATATATGGAGGACTACATGGATTAAAAAAGTTGGTCCTTTCTATCTTCCTTGGTTGTTCCTCTAATCAGTGAAGTCCAAAGAGGAGAAAAGAAGTATTTTTTGCGAAGATTTTTTACTTTTCTGGTACCAAGCTCTGGCCTGATTATCTTGTCTTTGTTCTTGCTGATTTTTCAGAGGGTATTGTGATGGCTGCTAGTGTAGCTTATGTAGGTGGCCAGTTGCAATATGGGGTGAACTTTTGCAGGGGACAAGGTTATAGGCAAGCTGTTTGGGTTCCTGGTGTGACAATCAATGGATGCCTGCAGAGAGAGCTCTCATGGTATTTATTAAGAATCTTAATTACAGTCTATTTCGTTTCTGTATTTGTTGAAAGATGTTATATCAAAGCAGTGCAGTTTTCAATTCTCAGCAAAGCTTCTAACTATATCTACGGTTTCTTTTTGGGAGATGTTCCAGGTCATGTGCGGTATCCAAGTTTTTGCAGATCCGTAGGTGTAATTTTTCTCATTATCCGGTGAGAGAAAATTGGAAGTCCTTCAGGACAGTCACCACATCAGCTTACTTGAAAGATGGTTCAACAAAGTATTTTGATTTTGCTGTCATTGGCAGCGGAGTTGCAGGTCTTCGTTATGCTCTCGAAGTTGCAAAACATGGAACTGTGGCAGTTATCACGAAGGCTGAGCCTCATGAGAGTAATACAAACTATGCACAAGGTGGTGTTAGCGCTGTGCTGTGTCCTTCAGATTCTGTGGAGAGTCACATGCAGGATACAATTGTAGCAGGGGCTTATCTATGTGATGAGGAGACTGTCAAAGTTAGTTCAACATTCTTTCTTCTAGGCGGCAGTATTCCTTCATCAATCCTTTTTCTTTTTCACATGAACAATTTTGCTCTGTGAGCAACTAGAAACTTAATTTAAATAAAAAATGATCTGTGTGAAAGGCATTTCGCAGTCCAACATTGTGCTTGCAATCAAGGGAGAGAAGGTTGATCCATTATCTCTCAGAAATAGTTTTAGTACACAGGCCTTTGTTACCTCCCAAAATCACCTTGAGTTAAATTTTTAATTGATTCCTGTTGTTTGTGCAATAAGAATGATGCTTTTTTTTTTTCCATCTTAGAAAGTTTAGTTATTAAGTATTGAGGTGTTGTGAAATTTAAACATGTGAGATTACAGCAGCCATTGGTAATGTAAGTTTGCAGAGGCAGGCATGCATAGTTAAGTTTGTGGTCATCCCTAGCATTCTAGCTCATTACTGAGGTTTCCTTTGAATTTGGTCTGTTTCTCCAGGTTGTCTGTACAGAAGGACCTGATAGAATTAGAGAATTGATTGCCATGGGTGCATCGTTTGACCATGGTGAGGATGGGAACTTGCATCTAGCAAGGGAGGGGGGGCATTCTCATCACAGAATTGTTCATGCTGCTGACATGACTGGAAGAGAGATTGAGCGGGCTTTATTAGAGGCAGTTATCAATGATCCCAATATTGTTGTGTTCAAGCACCATTTTGCAATAGATTTGCTTACTTCTCAGGTTCAACATTTTCCCCTTCAGTGATGATTTGAATTTTATATTATACTACTTTACAGTGCCAATTGAGTTTCTTGTATCATTGTATTAGCATACTCTTTCTAGGCTCAAGATTTGGGT